AATCCCTTACATAGTTTCTGCTGTATTTCAGTTTGACTGCGTTCTTTGGACTAAAATAGTTTTCCAGCGAACAAAAGGACATGTACACATCCAGTACCGAAAGCATCTGACAGAACTGAACTGGGGGGAGAACAATTCTATTCAGAGAAGGCAAAAGCTCGGCAGTTCTCACGAATACATAGTAATAAATAAAATCAATAATAATTATCAATGTATAATAATAACAATAATAATAATAAATGTGTAATAACATCAATAACAAGCAAACAAACAAACAAATCAATCAATCAGTGTTCAGATCTTGTGTTCAGAATGGCTGGGAAAACTTTTTTGTCATTATTTAAATGCAATAAACATGATAAATATTCACAGTTTGATCACCATACTGTGGTCCATGGCCATTTTTTTTTCCTTCTGCTTGGATTCTGATGATTTTTTGGGGGTTATTACTTCCTTTCTTTGTTTAATGGCGGCGCTTGGACGCCCCTTCAGGAGGCGGCGACGTTTAGTGTCTTATCCCAGACGCGCATCCTGCAAAACTTTGCTGGTTGAATAATCCTGAAGAAACGCTCTCTCATCTCGCCTGCACGACTGTTTATGTACAACAAAATGACAATAGACTTGATTTGATTTACTTTTCATTCCCATTTGTTTCAGAAATAATAAAAGAAAATGCGAAACAGACCAGAAGAACAGCTGAGAGTTTAGAATTTTATCATTAACGTAGAAGGTTAAGTCTTAAATGTATGTCAGATAAATTATATATCTGGGATTTAGCCTTCTGTCTTCATGTCTAAGACAAAAAGCAGCTTTATATCAACGGTGCAAACTGAGAATTCGAGGCTGTCAGAATCTGTTTCCTCCCTCCCCCCCCCAAAAAATTAATAAAAATAACTACATAATAAAAAAAGGAAAACTTTCCTTCTCTAAAGTTGCGTCTGTTTTTATCTCATGTCTTCTTACATTTACCATTTACTCAGCTTTTGGCTCACTCATTCCCCCCCAGCATCCATTCTTTTAAACTATGTTCCATGCTGTTATATCACTCTGCTTTTTCCTTTCACAGGTATCTTCAAGTATTTATGGAGCAAACAGGTACCAAAATGTTAGTCACTTGCTAAAAAGAGACTCAACGCTCAATATCGTGTTTTTTGATGTTGTTTTTGAGGTGACACAGAGGTTCCTGTATGACTGTGTCAAGAGCGGAAAACGGAGAGAAAATACATTTTCACATAATCTGGAGCTCTTATCAGCAACACCATCATCAGTATTCCACATATAGTACAAGAACCTTGACCTCATCTTATTTTTTTTTGACAGGCATATTAATGTGTGATGCAACAAGTGTCTGCAAGTTTTCTTAAACTAAACAAATTCACATCTGTGTTGAAGTAAAACAAATTTGTTAATAAATGCAGACACTAGTTATATCAAATAGATCCTTTTAAAAAAAAATCATTATTATTATAGATTAAGATTTCTTTTGGTGTCTAAATAAGTCAGACAGTTTCCTATTTCCAACTTTATGTTTAGCACAATGTTTCCGTTGTGTTTGTTTTCATCCTCTGTGTCTATTAGGGCTCCTTTACTTTTACATAAAACAATACTTAAAATAAATGTACTTAAGCTTGAGAGATTGACTTCATGAACTGGCTGAAGCACATTTACTTACTTTATGAGGTGCTCTACTTAACTTCCATTAAGCTACTTTATCTGATTTGCTCCAGCGACTTCAACTTTAAAGATTTAATATATAAAGAGCAATATTTGCACATACAATTCGAGACCATCTTAACAAGATACTATAAACTAAACTACTAAAACATTAATCAGTGCAGATTTCTGAACAATAATTCAACCTGTTCAGCATCACAATGCCTGAAATGTGTATTCATTCTTAGAATAATGATGAATATGAGCCATTATGAGCATCTTAACCTTTAATACTTTACATCTATTGTGCTCATAAAAACATCTGAACGTCTACTTAAATAATACTTTAAATGTAGAATATGATTATTTATGGTGTTGCTGCTTTTAATAAATGACCGTCATACTTTGTTCCACCTATTCATAACACAAGCTACCTTTGTGTTTATTGTATATTTATCACAGCTGTAATTATTGTTTAACTAAAACTGGACAAAAATATGGACGCTTTAAGAAAGATGGAGTGATAATTTCTGAAGAAATCTGATGGGACTTTATCAGTGGTGGAAAAAAGTGTTCAGATGCTTTACTGTAGTTGTAAAAGTACCAATACAGCAATGTAAAAATAGTCATTTACAAGTAAAAATCCTGCATAAAAATGGTAGATAAGTAAAGGTACATAGCATCAAAATGTAGTTAAAGTCCTGGTTTGCTCCCTATAACCGATCAATCATTGGATGTTCCATCATTAGAGAGTTAATAGTAAAGAATCAGTTTTATGAGCAGTGGATGATTGTGGGGGCTCAAGGAAGATCACAAATCTGTTTCCAGTTATTGAGCTTTTTTTTTTTCTCACATCCTTGATTTTCGATGAAATATTGGACCACTTGCACATTCGATGAAATGAAACCACGTGAGACGTTTTAGAGGGAAAAAAACGACTATTTGGCGATGCAGCTCACAGACGTCTGAAATGTCAGCCGACCACACTGCTGCTGTTCATAAGAAACCCAAAAACCGTCGGAAACCACTGGTCTCATCGTTAAGTCTGTGTTGAGTTTGAAAAGTCTTTATCTTTAAAAGTAATTAACGCAGTCAGATAAATGTGGTGGAGTGGAAAGTACAGCGTTTTTCTCTGGAGTGGATGTGTTAAGTAGAAAAATGGAAAGTAAAATAAAGTACCTCAAAGTTGCACTGTAGTACTTGAGTAGTTGTACTTAGTTACTTTCCATCACTGGACTGTATTTCAACAATGTGCTTATTACAAACAAACAGGTGAATCACGTTGTTCCTTTGTAGTTTACGCTACTTAACATAACCACTTTAGAACAAAGGCGAGGGGACAGTTTGTTGTCACTGTCGGCCTCTAAAGACTTCCTCAGCTGTTGTTTACCTCGGCGGCGAACTCAACTCGTGCTTGATTAGTGACAGAAAAGGGATTCAGTTACACAATGACTGCGGCGCAAATTCTCTCCAAGTTCCCCTAAACGTCCAGGTTGCTGCTCAGTGGATCATTTGTACTCTGTAATAATAGGATAGAAACCCCAGTAGGTAAATACCTACAGCATACATTCTTAAGATTACTCCTTAACGTGGCGTGTTTGTCTCCAGGGGCAGAACCGAGGGGTGGCTCGGGGTGACCACGGCCCCTATCCGACCGAACTTGCTGCCAGAAGACGCAAAGATTTTGTGATTTTTGTATCTGAAAAGAATAAGTCAGCATAAAAAAATATGTTTTCTTTTATATGTAAATTAAGAATCTGTACTTGTTTTTAATAATTACAGATTTAGGTGTAGCTGTGGATTTAGTTGTTGTTGAAAAGTGATTCAAACTGCGACTGACACAAAACCTGCAGCCATAAAGATTGGATACAGAGAACAAGGGCGCTATTGACACAAATATCTTATTAAAATTGTAATGATCCTACAAATGTATAATCAGTTAAAAGAAAGCAGAACTTCTGCATCCAGATTTTTAACAGCTACATTATGATACTGGTCGTGACTTCTCGTGTTCTTGTTTTTGGTGATCCTGCCTGCAAAAGCCAATGATGAGAATGAGTGATTAAAAAAAAAAAAAGACTGTTTGATCTTTTGCTGAAAAGGAAAACTTAAGAAGACATCGTGTCGCTCCAAAGTGAGCAATGATCTCAGTCTGGTTACTGCTGTAGAAACAAAGCAGTCAAACTCTGTTAAGATTTGCACTGAAAGAAAAAAAAAAAAACAACACTTTGATCTTGTTTCTTTTACGCTTTTCTTTCGGTTTCAGTTTTCTCACATTTACCCCTTTAAATTCTTCAGTTTTCAGTTTTGTGAAGCTCTTTCTTTTTGTCTTTTGCTTCTTGAGACGGTTTTAGTGTCTGGGAATTATCTATAAAGGTATCAAAACGTTCGCCGTTTGGAGAAAAAGAGACTCATCGCTCAATACGATGTTTTGATGTTGTTGTTTTTGAGGTGACACAGAAGTTCCTGTACGACTGTCTAGACTGGAAACCCGACAGAAAATACATTTTTGATCAAATACATTATGGGAAGTCTTAATTCACAGCCACACAATCAACATTTTAATATGATATTAGGTGATGAATATATTGTTATATATGGGTATAACATGTTTCTCAACTACTTATTGGGTTAACATTGGAATGCAGATTTTAGACTAATTACATGGTTAAGATCATGTTATGTTTCCTCGTTAATGAGTTGATGTAGTCCTCTGTTTCTGTTGTGTCTCTTTTGTTGAGATATAGAACAATAATGACGGTATTAGATTCATGTTTTTCTCATTTAGCGCTTGATACTAATGGACTAGATGTACTAAGCGACGTATATTCTTACTTCCATTGTGCCACTTGCACTTGATCTGAAGTTATTTAACATTCTTTAAATATTTAACACAAAAATCAGCCTATTAAAATGTTATACATCATCACTAATGGATCTACAAAACAGTTAATTCGTTCAAATCCACTCATGTAACCTCTTCAATTATCACATGATGTCTGATTATAGATTTCCCCTAAATGTCCAGATTACTGCTCAGTCAATCACACACATCCTGCAGAGTGGATACCAAGCAGGTTTTAGAATAACTACAGCATCATATCGTACTGTTACACCATTACAGTAATCCATTTGGGGCTTTAATGTAACAGCACTACCATTAAACTCAGCTTATTTCTTGGCTCTGCCCTGGCTCGACATGTGGTTTCCCCTGTGTGAGAGGGCGTGGAGCACAGCTGGGGGCGGTGATGGGGAACAACGTGCTCTGTGTGTACAAGCTGCAGCGACACGACAACAAGCCACACACAGAAAACTTCGGGCTGCCAGAACGTCGGAGATCCCTGCGCCTCTTGTTAAAAAAAAAAATCAGTTTTCAGACAGATTGCGTGACCGAGCGGACGACCTGGTGAAGAACTTCAGAGCAAAACCGCTTCTGACATGCACTTTGATAAATGTGAGTATGTGTGTTGTTGATTTGTAGTGATCCGTTGATTTATTTATTTATTTATTTCTTCATTCAGTGCAGATTTATAGAGTGGAGTTGAATGGTTTGATAGAAGTGATGACTATAATTACTTCTTTTTATGGACAACATACAATGCTGGGTTTGTTTATTGTGTTAGAGACCTTATTTATATCGACTTTGATTCTAATTTCATTCTAAATTTGCAATATCACACCTTATTTTTGACTTTTATTGGGATGTTAAACCCTCAGTAGGACAGAAATGACCATTGGTAAACTGATATGTGTGTGTTTTACAGGTAGGTTTAGGTGTTTTATGTGTATTTTAGGTTAAACACCTTTACACTAATACTGCACACTACCTATTCATACCGCCATTTCACTTCATGTACCAGCCTCCCTCTCGGTTTACATTAAATGACATCACAATTTAGGTGAATCCAAGAGTCAGGACCTCATTTGGGGAAACCCTGGTCAACCTCCACCCTTTTTAACATATTTTCATTTCCCTTTTTGATTCATGCTAGACAAGCAGGCTTTTGTGACGCGATGGCGTAACTTGTTTTGCTTAACTTTCTTTATTCATGTGCCCTCTGCGACGAGCCTGAGCGATTGCATGTTTGCTGTTGTGCGCGTTGGGTCTGTTGAACCGCAAAATGAGGAAACCGGCTATGCACCGCTTCTTCCTTTTTCTCTGAGGAGAGAACCAGAAGAGAAAGGTCGTCGGAATCCCCAACCCTCCCACTCACATGACTCAATGTCCAGGGTTTTCCGTGAGCTCTATTTGAATATAGGACAGAGTAGCCCAGAGCGGTGAGGGTAAACCCAACATTTATATCCTGAACAAGCAGGTTTTTTTTTTTTTTTCTATCATCTGCTTTGTCTTAGCTGCTCTTTAATATTGATCTTTGTGGTTATGCCATAGCATTACATCATCAGTTAAAAAGGCCAAAGGTGACATTTTGTTGTAAAGATCAAATGAGTCAGGATTGAGAAACCTGTAGTAACACCTCGCCAGCTAGAAAATGAAACTTTGCGGCGATGAGATGTCCTGTGTTCTCCTGAAGTGACCTTTCATTACGTGTTTGGGTGACATGTGACAGACAGACAGCAGGACAAGGGCTTATTGTTCACGACAGGTTTTTCCACTAGAAGTGAGATTATTGTTTTTAAGAAGAAATCTAAACCGGCGAACCCGAACACAAGCAGCCGAATTTGCATTTTTTTTTATTCTCAAATCCGGAAGTACACCCTCTGTTTGTGTTTGCATTAGCGAACAGAGACGTCTTGTCCCCGCGTGGCTCACCGCAACTATCAATATTCAAAAAAAGAAAAAAAAAGAGAAGTAACCAGAGAACATGTCAGTCTTCTCGCGCTCTGCCTCCCAGACATGTAGGCTGCAATAGGAAGCACAAGGCGGCTACACGTGTGGAGGTGACGCGCCTGTGACACACCAAAGGCAGGAAGAAGATGCGGTTTGTCGTTTCTGTAGCGTAACGGAGTGGGGCAGGAAGGTGTCATAGAAAATGAGCGGTGGCAATCCCATGCTACAGGTTTTCTGATGAATCTCTCCGGCCTGCGTTCCTAATGGAGGAGGTTTATCTTTTGTACTCGCGGTTCCACAGACAGCGTGGAAATATCACTTTATCTTTCGCGTGTGGGGCGAAGCTTTCTTTTATTTTTGAGGAAACAACCTGTGTGGTCACATCGTGTCAGCTGGAAACATCAGAATTCGGTGTTTTTTTCCTATTTTTCTCAGGTTTCCTTTACCTGTTTAGTGGAAAGGACAGTTTTGTATCAGCACGGGGGGAAAACGTACCCGCTCATCATGGATCTTGATGTTTTTTTGTGTGAAACACGAGCAGAAAAACGCTGCCACGGAGAAACCGAGCAGCCAGAGTCCTCTAAGTGTTATTATTTTCTCAGAGCTGCCTTGTGTAAAACCAATCATCTGAGCTTGCAAACATGATTTATTTTTCATGTTTCTATTATCTCCCACCTTTCAGCCTATATTTGTTTTATAGAAAACTTGCTCTTAATAAAGCCAAACTCCTGATTGATGCCATGGAGATTAAAGTTTGACAAATTATCGAGTAAAAGTAATTAAGAAACCCACATTTGCAGACACAGAGAGACGATTTATAATCTAAATGATCTATTAAACAGATTTTGTGATTTATTACTACAAAACGAAACGAGAGAAAACAAGATTGTAGGTTTTTTTGTTGAATTAGTTGATCAACAAAATCAATTATTGGCAAATCATTACGAACCATTTATCATTAGTAATTTTTTAAAAATTAAAAACACTAAAAATTGCATCTTTACCCTGTTTTAAATTATTGCAAATTTCGATTACATGATATTTTGGTTTATAAAAACATTTTCCATTATTGCCTGACATCACATCGTCCAAATAATTAACCCTTTATTGATTCATCAGCCCCGATTTATGTTATATATGAACAAACACCTGAACAGCGCCTACAGATAAAGGTGATATATTCAAACAAATGACACACACAGCTGACATTTTCAACCATTTTCAACTTGCACTCCTACATTTCACCTTCACATAGACACAAACAGAATTACAGGCTCCACATTAGGCGTCAGTGACCTCCTGTTTCTACTTAAGGAGTTTTTAAAACCTCTGACATCTACTGTGGGGTCTGCTCTTATCTCTGCTACTGAAGTGGGTTATGTCATAATGTCAAGATGTGAAAAATTCCCATGAGTGTTGCACAATGATTTGAATTCAATCATTTCGCTCTACAAGGGGCGTATAGATGTCAAACAAGTGATAGGTCGTCCAGGACGGCCCAACCCAGCATATTCAGTACAACAGGTCCCCAAAAAAGTCCCCAAGAGCCTCAAAATTTCATCCTCAGCAAGTGTTGGTGTCAAAGTGTATGAATCAGAAAACAACTGCACAAAATAGACCTGCAAGCAAAGACCAGACCTTTCAGAATAACGTACTCTGGATTTAAGAATCAAAGATAGAGTTGTTTGGTCGCGGCTGACATATTTGGCAACGTCTCAGGACAAGAAATTCACACCTGAAGTGTATCGCTTCGGTTTTGGACATTAAATCAACTCGTAATGTGAGACCATCTGTCCTGAAGCTGAAGTGGAGCTTTCGACAGGATAACGAGCTTTTGCACACACGAGCAAAATCCACGGCTCAAAAAAGAAGAAATGGAGAAGTTAGGGAAAGGCCAGATTGATTTGAATTCCCATTAAATGTTGTGCGGGGGATTTAAAATGGGCAGTACATGCAAGAAAACCCTCCAACATTTTGCAACTGGAGGAATTTTAAAAGGAAGAGGGGTAAAAGTTTTGGCAAACTGCCTGCATGAAGTTATTCCTGCCAAAGGGGACAATACCGGCTTCCAACGTCTGTATGGTCACAGCAGAGAATAACAGCTGCTGATATTTTTGTGAAATAAATAATTGAAAAAGCTCCTTTTTTCTCGCTTTGTTGTGCAAGTGTACAAACTGTATCTGTAGGCACGTTTCCAAAGAGGATGAAGCGTCCAAATGTTTTGAAAAAGCCAACAATTTTACAAGTATTTTCCTTTCGTACATGTGAACAAATTATCATTCCTCCTTGCATTTTTTTTTCATTTCTCAGCGCCAAAAGAGAAGCCGTGTTGCACTCTGCCCACAGTGAAGAAACTCTTGGAGGAGAAGAGAAGACGCGAGACGTCCTCGGTGCCGCCGTCCTGCTCTGCTGCCAGCACAAGCCCAGTTCCTCCAGCTACCGTTTCAGTGAGTCAACACTCAGACAACCCAACCTGTTACCAGATGTTACACTATAAACATGCCATTGTTCATGATTTCTTTTTTCTCTTCTTCCAGCAGCTCTCCTCATCAGAACCATTTACCTGCACAGGTAAGAGCTGGACTTCTTCTGCACAATATCTAGAGGATGCGTCTGCTGCAAAACTAACGCTAAATTGATTGTAAAATGAATTGTGTTCAGGAAAACACATCACAGAGTTGCATTCTTCCTTCTGGAAAATAGTCTCCAACACATACACCATTTGCTTCTGCTGAAGTTCAGCAACTGGAGTCATGTTTGCTAAGAGCTACAGCTGTTTGAGTGAATTATTTAGCCTTTTTAAAAATTAAATGTTGTTTAATTTTAAGATTTATGTTTTACGAGTGAGCTCGGGACTAAGCGCCGCAGAGAGAGGATATGGAAGCCAATGGCAACAAGACTAACTAACTACATCATGTTTGTTAGTCTTTCTAGTCTTGACCTTTTAAAGTCCTGCTCTGGTCATTGATCTAACGCTTAAAAAAGTTTGATATTTAGAAGTTTTTCCATGAAAATAACCGGTATAAGCTAAAACATTTCTCAGTTGCTCGATAGCAAGTTGTAATTCAGCCACACGTTTAACCTGTAAACCAATTTTTAAGAAGAAGAACGATGAAGAAAGTGCAAGTGGACACGATAGGTTTCTTAGGTTTGTTGAGTATGAAACCTCAGAAATCAGTCTTTCTGAGACTGCTAAGCCACAGCAGACTGCTCAATTTGCTCATGACATGTCATCTAGCACATAAAAAAAACACCATATGGATTTCATCTTGAACACAGTTTTGGGTTTGTTTATACTGACCTACGTCTTCAGTGATAAATGATGAATGCTCTGATGCTCCATTCCAGGTGCAACAAGCAGCTACTCAGACATGGCAGTGAGCTACGAGCAGTGGGCTCCAGCCCCTGAGTCCACACTCAGCTACTACAGCAGCCACCCCGGACCCAGCTACGCCGCCGGCTACAACCTCCCCATAACACCCGACTACAGCACACAGCAGCAGGTCCCGGGATTTGTTGAGACAATGCCCCAGACATATGTAAGAGAAACCTTCTCTTTGGTGGATCTTTAACTAATACATCTATAAAGTCACTCATCTCAGTGATCTATCATCTTACCTTGATGGCTTAAATTAAATCTGCATTCCTTTGTGTAGGAGTGTCAAATGCCGATCACAGATCCCAGCATGGCGTCGTCCTGGTCGCCTCTGGGTCCTGGTCAGAGCTCACAGCTGAGCTTTTGTCCGTCAATGGACGCCACAAAGCTGGAGGAGGCCAGGATGCTGCTCAACGGGATGGACTACAGCAGAACCACCTGCCAGGATGAAGACGGAGACACGTGAGTGTTTATCAATGCACATTTGTGTCTGATTTTGCAGTGCGTGGTCTGTATCTGCTAAGTAGGTTGATCCCTGGTAGATATGAGCTCTCTCACTTTTTAATAGTATCATAATATTTATTTATGGAGGACAAATTAAGGGATGCAAGTCCTGCAAAAATAAAATAAAAATAAAACATACAAGTCATGGACAAGACAGATAAAACACAATCTGATGCATTAAAATCAATGCTGTTTTTGAAAGTGTAACTCAAGTGAAGTCAGGAAAGGATCTCCAATAAAAGTATGTTTTAAGAAGAGATTTAAAGGAGGTCAGTGACTCAGCCGACCTGATTTCCTCCAGCGTGTCATTCCAGAACCTCGGGGCCTTGGCTGCAAATGCTTATTGCAGTTTTCAAACAGTCCTCTGGAGCAGGCAGAAGGCTTTTGCTTGAAAATGTTTCTGCGAGATGTTAGATCGTCTGAACTTCAGCATCTTTTGCAAAGCAAGATTCAAAACAATACATCTTATCCTCACTTAAACCCCAACTACTGACATTACTGTGCTGGTTAAAAGTGCACACTCCACACAATTCATTTACATCCGTAGAGTTTCACTTTCACTTGTGTTACCACCTGTGCAGTTTTGTAACCCTAGAAAAGTTAAGAAAAGAAAAATACAATATGTCAGCCGCTCATGCTCGGTTATTAGAAACTCAGATAAAATGGAGAAGAAAAAAAAAAAAAGTAAAACTGTGAAAGCAGTGAATTTAGTCGTGGGGATTTCCGTGATTATTCTGCCTCATTTCTAACTGATTTATCATGTTGCTCTGTCAGCATCCTGCACATCTACACTGCCAAGGGACTCAGGGAGTGTGCCTTCGCTGCTGCAGAGAGGCTCAGGGAAGTAGGGAGGATGGATGCCAAAGAACACAAGGGAAAGGTATGAATAAAAAAAACATCTTCCAAAATGTGCAAATCGCTCTTTCTTCTTTTTTTGGCAAATATGAGCAAAAGAATTTCTCCACATAAGTTTGTGTTCTAACCGTGCTTGTGCAGACGGCTTTACTGGTGGCGGTGACGGCAAACCAGCCAGAGATTGTGCAAGATCTGCTGTCATTAGGCGCGGATATCAACGCCTGTGATGTTAAAGGACAAACTGCCCTTCATCTGGCTGCTCACTATGGATTCCCCGGAGTTCTGCAGGTAAAGCAGCAGAAAAATACTGAATTACTTTGACAAGATGTTAAAAAGTTAGTGAGAAAAGTGTCCAGTGAGCAGACCTCAACAGTGATTTGTTTCTGCAGGCGATTCTGTCCAGAAGGCCGGTCGTCAACCTGGAAGCCCGCAACTTTGAAGGTAATGTATTCATATATTAGGATTTGAATCAGAAAAAAAGCTTTGTTGTCAAGTGAGCTTGCACACACAAGGAATTTGCCTTGGTTATATGAAACACACAGCACTCCTGAAGTAGAATAGAATAGAATAGAATAGAAAATCTTAATTTAAAGTCCTACAAAACAAACAGACAAACAAAAAACAGTGGCATTATATTTACATAAAACTTTGTACCACGTTTTCAGCACAAACTTTAAAAAAATACTTACTTCACCGGAAACCCCACTTCAAGTGTCTTCTTCTTTTTGCTGCTTCAGGCATGACTCCTCTGCACTGTGCAGCCATTTCTCACGGTGTCACCATGAAGGCTTTGTCTACCACCGGCCTGGCAGATGTTAATCTTCAGACCAAGGCTGTGGAGAAGCTCTCCTGTGTGCAGATGCTGCTCAACGAAGGGGCGTCCCTGCTCAGCCAGGTACGACCGATCAGCCATCAGAAGCCGACACATCAAAGTTCAATATAAAACCCTGACCTTTCTCGTGCCGTCCGCGAGGGAGCTTCCCAGAGGTTATCTCGCTGAGGTGGCATCGTAGTGGTGGCCGTTCTCCCTCAGCGTCTCTCCTTCGCCTTGTTTGCCTTCTTAATCTGACTTGTAGTTTCATTCTGTTTTTCCTATCACCTCTCGTTGTCCAATTCCAGGAAATCAAAAGTAACAAGACCGTGCTTCACTTGGCCGTGAAAGAGGGGAACATTGATCTGGTGCGCTATCTGCTGAGGATTCCCCTGCCGAACATGAAAGACTTTGTCAACATGAAAGTGAGTCGCACACTGAAATGAAACTCAGAACTGGATTCCATATTTACATGTTTGCGTATTTAAGCAAATATACTGTACACAATGGAAGCGAGGACACTCATGGTATCACTTACGGTTGTGAAATGATGTCATGATCGTATCACCTCACAGTAACTGAATTATTGTTAATTTGTTCTAAGATTTGAGATCGACTACATTATAGACACAGGCCCCACAGTAGAAACGAAAAAAGTCCGCTCACCTTTTATTCCTAAGCTTGAGCTGCTCTTTGCTGGAGGGGTTGTGTTGAGCTGCCTTTGAAATACCTCAAAGTTGTTCTGTCACATTCAAGACATACAGGTCATAGTTTGCACTTTTTCCTCTCGTCAGAACTGTTGTGTGATTCTCTGCTCTGGGTGGTTGTCGTCCTGGAATATTCCTCTTCTGATAAGTTTCTGCAGTCATGTTGTCAGCCAGTGTTTTTGCTATTTCCACAGACATCCATGAATGTTATCCCTCAAACACCTTTTGTACTCATGCAGCCCCCGTATCATCACGTGCTTCACTGCCAGGACTGATGCATCCACTGTGGTAGTCCTGGTCAGGTTCAGACTCTCCATGGAGGTTTGCATTATGCAGTGTCCTTCAGACCGTCTGAACCGGCACAAAAACTCATATTTCCACTCATAACCTCCGCGCCAAGTCTGTCAGAGATTATGCTAAACTGTCCGTGGCATCATTTTAAGAGGATGGCCACTGCAGCATTGATTAGCGGTGCTGTCTCATCTTTCTGTATCCTCAATCATCTTTCTGAAATCCTAGTCTTGATGCAGAAATGCTGACCAGCACAGCCCATAGGTCAAAAACTGAGAAAGTTCTGGTGTCACAGGTCATTTTCTAACCATGTTCACATGTCTGGGTTAATTGAAAACCACAGCTGTATTCAGTTTTCTATTCTGGGGCCTGCATTTTCAATATAGAGTTTCAAAAATGTTTGCATTTTACTGTTCATGCAAGAAATTACTCGACATGTTAAGTTAAAAATAAATCAGTTATTGAGTGACAGAGTGATGTGTTTTGGAATCACGTGACATTCAAGTGCCCTTTTTGTACTTACCTCTGCTGTACTCGAACATCTTATTACCACAGAGATCACAGCAAGGAGTTTTTCAGAACTAACTTTGTGTCTCTGCCCAATCTGCGTTACATCCTCTCTGGTCCACGTGACCAGTCGGTCTGTTAGAACGCTGCCGAGGCATTTATCGCTCATTAAGTCAGTCATCGGATACAAGCACAACTACATGGCCTCTGAACAGTCTGAATAATGCGGCATTTACACTTTTGCCACAGGCTCACGGTCACACAGCTTTACACATGGCAGCCGGTCTCCACGGTAACCCCCACCAGGAGGAGATCCTGCAGCTGCTGCTGAGCAGAGGAGCTGATCCCAGCATCCGCAACCTGGAGAACGACCAGCCAGCTCACCTGCTGCAGAGCGGCCTGCAGGGAGAGCAGGTAAGCTGCCCGTCATTCCAAGTCCTGCTGCTTTAGTTTGTTTTTAATCGAGAGTCACTCACTAATGATAATTTATCTTCACATTTCCAGCTCAAGCTCATGCTGAAGAAAAGGAGTGCTTCCTCTCGTCGACGTATCCTGTCCTTGCAGGACCAGGAATGATTTAAATCACTTGTAATCCCCATTTGGTGGGAATGAGTCTTTAAGATGGTTCCTCTGTTCAGAAGGGGATTTACATTCTATGGGTATGAAGTTTTGGGAGTCTCTGGCCTACATTAACCTCAAGAAACAGTACAATTGACATTTTTATTAGACAGCTTTAATCTTAAAGCTGAAACGGTTACTTAGTGTGTGTGTAAAACTATAGAGCTACACACAGGGTGAAGTATTCATCTGTACGTGTAGCATTTCATTCTAAAATGTCAAAGCGAGCCTGGTGTTAAATTTAATGGCAAAATGTATATTTACCATTTTGAAAGATAAAACTGAAACAGAGCATTAGATATTTACTAAAAGTTGAATGTCGTTGTTAAAGATGGAGCAACATTCATTGTTCTGATAGGCCACACTCCCAGGTTAATGTTGATTTCTATGAAATCATGAGATAAACTCCAGGACCATGTCCCTGAAACCCCTCTGACGCTCTTCTTAAAACCCCCCATCCATACGTTATCATACTGATACACTGAGTGGTGGTTCTGATTTCAGTAAGCACGCATGTTAAGAATGTTTAACATGATAATCTATGACATAATTTAACTTTCTGTCTGTATGCATCATACATATCTGTATAACATCAGGTGCAATTTTCTTTGTGGGAAAAAGGAAACTTTACTGTGTAAAACTACTGTTTTTGAAACTGATTGTGACAAAGAATGTTCTTTTCTTATCACAGAGACATTACATGAGTAAGTACGATGACAAATTGTCTGCCAGTTGTACCTTTTAGTCATGAGTCACGAGTAAAAGTACAATAACACTGTTTAAGTTCCATACGATTGCTTTGATGTTCAGGGAACCCTTAGAGCAGTCCCATTTACATTTAGCTACAGAGATTAGCGGGATGGAAAATACAACCGTCCCGCTAGAAAGTCGACGGCAGTTAATTACACAAACATCGAGGGAGTGTTTATTTTTTCAGGCTCAATTTCCACCTACCTTTACTGTCATGACAAAGAACCTTAATCACAGATGGAATGACTGTAATTTAACCCATACGCTTCTCGCCTATGTGTCATAGTTGATATCAATCAAAGATGACACATAGCTGGTAATTCCTGTGAAGCACAAAGAGCACATCAAACTCATACGTCAACCACATCATATATTTAACTGAAATGCTTTTCATTTCTCAAATTTCTCCAACTTCGAATAATTTCATATGATTCCTAATTCAGATTTTTTTGTGAGATGACTAAAGACACTGGTAAAAATCATGTTGAGTTGACAAGATCTTTATTTGATTATATATTTTTTTGAGGCTTTACAAGGAATTTTCATTTTAAATAATTCCGCCTTCACTGAAAAACATAAAAAAATTCAAGCCATTATTGTTTTTTCAAAGCAATCTCAGAATGTAACACATCACTGAATGTTCTCATTTATCTTCCATAATAATGCTATTTCATGTTAGCTTCTTGTGTTTGTGCTATTTATTTATTGGTTTCATTACTATTCTATTAAGCTATTTCTGGTGTTTTTTTTTTTTTAAATGCCTAAAAAAAAGTTGATCAGAACAGAATACACAAAATAAGCATGCAGTTGTTAACTCATTGACACAAAATGGACAAATGTATAATTTTGTAATCATGCTCTTGATTTTATTGTTTGACAGCAGTAAAATGTTTGGAAGAGAAACCACACGTGTTGCATGTGTTTGATTAAGTGCACCTTATAGAATTTCATGGTCGGGGATGATTATTTTTTTATTATTATTATAATTTGTTGTCCTAAACAAGCTACACTCACACAACACTGAGCAATCTATCGGCGTATATTTTGCAGACTTTCTACAGAAATCGGTGGGAGATGAGGGATCAGGTTAGGGTGTGTTGGGAAAACCCTGTTTGTTAAACATCCAGCCGGCAGAGGTATATTAGCCATTAGACGAACGGCCACAGAACAGCTGGTGTGTGTGCATGTTTTTGCTAGCGTGGATCCTGTGATGACCTCTCGTCTCCCTTTCGAGCATGTGCTGTGTTTTCTATACGGCTGGAGGAGGCACTGCACAAGAGAAGGGAATGAATCAGAGAGAAGAGCAAACTACAGTAATAGAATTGCTTTAACAGTGAGCATCCGGCAAAAAATGAACTTACCCTCTGTCTTTGGAATTTGGGTACCAGATGAGTTGGAGCTGCATTTAGAAAACAAGGGATTCAATTAGTAAACAGCTTATATTCTTTAGTTCATTAAGATTAATCATAAAGATGTGCACTTGGAAAACTGTGGCAACAACTTCAAACCGTATGCATTATCAGGGTCATCTACAAACAGTCGAAGCCACGGGGTTATAAGGTCAGCGTACAACAGAAGTGAGTGCCCCCTTGTGCAATATCACTCAAATCAAATGAACTGTTTCACCTCACTGTCATTGCATTACTTCTACGTTGAACGGTTGGGTTTTCGTTCTTGGAAGTAGGAACTGAACGCAACTCACAAAAGTCAGCACATTACTGAGATTCAAATCTTTCATTTTTTTCAACACCTTGTCATAGTTTTCATTTTTGTTCTTCATCAGGAACTCTTGATTTTGGCAATGTGCTTTTGATTGTTATTGTGCTGAAATATGCCTCTTTCTGCAGACTGGGATTCATCTGAATAGACAGTATTTTTTTTGTACTCGTGCAGCACGGTATCGTCACACTCCCACCTCTGTGCTTCACTGTCAGGACTATGCATCCACGGTAGTCTTGGCCAGGTTTCATGCCATCGTACCGGGCCCTGACTGAGCCAAACAAATGTATTCTGGTCTCATCTGATCGAAGAACGCGTTGTCGACATTCATCTGGCTTCTTTTCATGCTTTAAAGGAATGTTTAATGTTGCCGATCTGAAGAGCGAGCGAGAGGATGTTTTTGGAGGCCGTCTGCAGAGGGTCATGTCAGGCAATGTCTACACACTGCCTGATTTCTATTGATCACCCCTGTGCCGAGTCTGAAGCATTTGTCCGTCTGAATTTCAGAGCTAGATTCTACCACAGACTGTATAAAAGATGGACGTAGCAACCAGCCCTGAAAAATGAAGCCAACCCGGAAGTGTCAAAAACCTGCAATATCACTACGTCCACTAGTCCTGGCTCCAAACAGCCCTGGCTCCCACAGAAATGAATTGGAATAGAAGTGATCACAGATCACTAAATACTGCATTCCTACAGCTCAGGATTTTAATAAATTAGTTTGATGGTCAAGTCCAGAGATCAGGTGGCCAATCTCAAAATAAATCAATACTGAATTTTTAAAAAATCGTCAACATTTTGCGGGGCAAGGGGCGTGGCTGGCTTGATTGACAGTCGGCAGCGACCATACAGATGAAGCGAGCAGAAGGCGGTAAATGTGGGCGGGCAGAGAGGGCCCGCCTCTCAATCCGTCTGACCAATCGCTGCTCCTATGGCTCCGCCCCCTCCGACGATTTTTGCGTCACTGGCTCCAAAAATCCAAGATGTCAACCAGGAAGTAGCAAAACCCTGGCTTCATTTTCTCAGTGCAGAAACCAACGGGTGACGTCACGGTAGCTACGTCCATCTTTTATACAGTCTATGGATTCTACAAGTAGCACACTGGCTGTCATGTCATTGTAGGAGGAGGACCACTGCAGTTCTGATTAGTGGTACTGCAGCTCATCTATGCCTCCTGACAACTTCTGCAATGTGTTTCTACGGATTCTCAGTTAGCAGACTAATCTTTCTGTCTTCTTTTCTATGTTTGTGAAGTCTCACAGTCAGATTTTTATTTATGTATTTGGCAATTCTTTTTCCATGTTGAGCCGACGCAGATAGACGCAGCACAACGGCCAAAAACTGGGAACGAAATCTCACATCACATGCAATTAGGCTATTTGGAAATTCTCAATTTTGCTTCAGTGAAAACAGGTTTTCTAACTTGTATGATCACAGGTATGTTCACCTTTGTTGCATTGCACTTCTACTTTGGAGGCTATATTTTTTACTTTTATTATAGTTTTTATTTGCTTTTTTTAATGCTCATAAGAGGAAACACTCTGCCTGCTAACGTAGGAATAATGCAGTTACTGAGAGGTGATTTCGAATCATTTGACATTCAAATGACATTGCACCGGGGTGTACTCGCTTCTGCTGTATCCTGTATAACAACACACCATTGTGCAGGGTTTTTTTTTTTGCCCTGTTAAAACAGCCGCCCTCATCTTTCTTCTTGTCTTGCCATACAAGCAGCATGCTGAGAGTAGACACTGCCCAGCCACTACCAACACATAAGGAGCGTGATGGATAAAAAATGCTTAAAAGTTTAAAAAGAATATGAAAGCACCACCTTCATGTGATTAGTCATACAAGTGTAAACTCGTTAATGTGTTGGAAGTGTGTTTTGGGTCGTGTGCAGAACAGGGAACGGGCATTTGGAGAAGAGGCATCCAGGGCAGGGAGAGGAAAATGTGATTTTTTAAAAAACTTTAAACTGAAAAAGAAGTTTTTTTTCTCCACACTTGTTGGGCAACAAAGTCAAATTCATACAACATGCACAGGCGGATCATCCACTAAGCCTTGCACAGCTCTTACTTGGATGAGGATTTTACACATTTTGTGAATTTTTTACCTGTTTGAGGAATGATAGATAAGTTACAAAAGGTAATATTCTCATGTAAAGGCTCGATATGACAAAGGAGATTTAATAGAAAGTCTAAACTTACTCAGGGCTATTAAAATGCCAGAGACAAACATAATAACAGCAAGGATAACCCCTGTCGTCCGCAATGTCTCATAATCTACAAGGGACAGAACAATATGCGGCTGAACCAAACACACCCATTTGAGCTCATGATGAAATTAGACGATGCTGTTCTCAAAACTTCAATAGTAATTCAAATATTGATTTCTGACATGAGCAACTTATGCAAATCTTACCATAGTCGAAGTCACTTTGGTCTGGAAACATTGTTTCTGCAAAGAAAGATTCTTATAAGTTAGAAAGCAGATAAAAAATAAAGGTGTTCATTTGAGCATAATGGGCAGCAATAAGCTTAAAAGGTGAGTTTTTTAATCCACAACAACGGACAAAAAGGAGTTCAGCGTCCAAGATCTGCAGGCTTGGCTCCATAACTCCTCAGGAGTATTTTTTTTTTCCACTGAGAGGAGCTCAATGCAGCATCTTTGCTCAGCAGAAAAAGTGGGTTACAAGCCAGCAGCCGGATGCTGAGGTATCATCAGGGCAGCAAAGAAAAACAGCACTTGAATACAGTGAAGTGTTTGGAGTTAAGGGACCACTTAATGCAATACTACGGTTTCTACTCTTAACCAAAACTGTGGCTTTTTTTTTCTTTTTCTTTTTGCAGAGCTGAGTGTGTTGCAGGCTGCAGTCTGTGCCAGAGTGTTAGGATAGCTGGATGTCGATAACGCAGTTTGCATGTTGCTGAACCCTCAGTCTTAAGTGGCTGAGCAGGCAGTTTGTATTTCATTTCTTCCTTCTTGCACAAACACTAATCACTTCTCAAGAAACAAATGCAAAATACTTGAATTGTTCATTCTAGTGGGCAGTTTACTGAAGAACTCCCTTTGTTGTTGGCACGGATCCATACATCTGCAACTCAATCCACTCAGCAAATAACTGCATGAAAACAGGCAAATAAAGATCGCTGTTGCTTAAATTAAATGGTGCATAACAACCAAACAAGTATTTTACTTCCCTCGTTCTTCTAAGCAACTGTTTCTGTATTGTACGCTACACCCTTTAAACCCCATAAAATAATGAGAAAAAAACAAAAACAAACCTGTGGTGGCCATGGCTGCACTGCAGAGAGACGCCGTAGAAGAGCTCTGTCTCTTAGATATTTAGCAGGTTGCTGGCTTGCGGTAACAGACTGGATATGAGATGGTTGGAAGTGGACAGCACAGCAGGCAGAGCGGCTTAGTGAACCTTCAGTGTAAACTCAGCAGGGACCCTCTGCTGGTGAAACACCGCATTCACAGTTAAAGCCAGTGGTGCAATCCTGGGGTAATCCCAGCATTGAAAAAAAAAAAAACAGCCAGACTGCAGCTACTGAGGACAGTGAGCCACCACGGCAACACAAAGTGACAATAAAGAAAAGTAGGAAAACAGTCCTTTCACCGGAGAGCAGACGTGACAAATCTTCTATGGAGAACTATGTAATGGGAGGAAAATTAGGGTGATTTGTTTCTGCATTTTGCTCCAACATTCTGTGCAGCTTCTAAATTGCAAACCTAAACCTTTCACTACATGAACACAGGCTTGCATGCTGGAAAATGCACCAGTTTCAATCTCCTGTTGTGCCTTTTTTTGTGCAGTGCAGTCAGCCTGCTCCTGCAAATATAGCCTACATATGCAGCTTTTACCTTCACAGAGGCTGCCACACTCACTATGGTGGAAAATCTGCCTTTTAAAACAGCGTTAAACACAAAGATAGGCAAAATGAGGTGCATTTTTTCCCCCCCCCTCATAACGGAGCCTCTTGAAAAGCTGCCCAATGCAGCACATAAATCATTCCACACTCACTCCTGCTAGTTACTACTGCATGTGCAACTGAAGCGTCTGCAGTGTCAGCAGAAGCAGGAGTGCAGTATAATAAAGGGCTGTGGTCCCGGCTTTACTTCTGCTCTCACAGAAAATTAAATAAAAAAAACACAAAAGAAATCTACATTTTCAAACATCGGCTTTATTATTTTTTGCATCAATTTGAAAATCACAAAAAAATACAAATGTTAATCAAACTATTGCTACTGTATAAAGTCGGCACATCATCTACCTACAGTTATTGGTGATAAAAACGTTAAAAAAAGGGAGAGAGAAAAAAAAAGGAGTACAGTAAGATTCTGAAAGTGAAGAAAGCTCCATGTTGTGGGTTCATGGAAGGATTGTCTTCTGCTGTGATCACAGTATTTGCTGCCACCTACTGGTAACGTTCAGAGAAACTGTAGAAGAGGAAGGAGGGAAGTTTTATAGACAACATATAGTTCAGCTTCTTATGAAAGGAAATAGATTTGAAGAGGTTACACTTACAGTTCTGCTTCTGTGTCCATTAAGCTGTAGAAAGAGTATCAGATCATTTATTGGGAAAAAGAAAAATGGCAATGCCCCAAATTATTCATACCCATGCCTTATTTTGATTTATAGCGAATCGATGTTTACATTTTCAGCATCTTCTGAAAAGTGACAAGAGACAGCAAGACAGTGTGTTAGACATTTTAATGATGAATATTAACAATTTTGTTTGTTGTTTTCAACCTACCACGTCCACAATTATTCATAAAATTCATAAATTGTTGCCAGTTTTTGGCAAAAAACAAAAACAAAGACACAACTTTGACCCTACTTTAAGGGTCGTACCGGTTTCTACCATATTAAAGAAGATTCTAATACATGATAAACTGAGAACAGTGAATGCAGCAGTTCTCCAGTGAGCTACTGGTCAATTGCAAGTCCTGGCATAAGCCAAACAGCTTAGTGAGTTTACTACGAGGGTTCAGAGTTGCTGCTCACAAGACGGGGAAAGGTTATAAAGCCATATCCGAGTGCTTTCATGTGCCAGTGGCCACAGTTGCAAAGCATCATCAAAAAGTTCCACACTGTGGAAAATCTCAAAGAGTGTGGAAGGAATGCAAAAAGCGAGCCCTGTACCGCACAGAGTGGAGACGAATCCGAGGATCAGCACCGAGCGCATCCCGGTGAGTGGGAGCAGTTCTGGTAGCTACACGTCAGTCGGACACTGAAGAAGGCTGGTCTCCATGAAGACCGAGGAGGATGCACGTCTCCAAGACAGACACACTAAAGCTCAGCTCGACAAAGAAGAAAGATTTTGGAAATGAGAGTTGTGTGGGCACAGGAATGTAGATTTTGTTCGGTGAAAGTAAGGAGAAGGATTCCAGCGCGAAGATAAGCATCCTCAAGGTCAAACATTGTGGTGGGAATGTGATACTTCCAGGCAGCCTGGTCAACGTAAGTGGCACCGTGACAAAAGAGGAGCACAGAAACACTGCTCATAGGGCAGGATTCCAACAAGATGATGATGTGAAACCTGCAGCCAAAGTGGTGAAGAGAAAACAATGAGAAGATGTTGGAGCGGCCCAGCCAGAGTCCAGACCTGAATCCGTCCAGAAGCTGTGGAGGAGCTGAAGAACAGAGTGATGGAGAGGAAGCCTTCAAGATCAGAGAGCTGGAGATGGACACTCTCAGACTGTTAGACACTGGAACTGCTTGACTGATGTGGTAAAGAGTATAAATAAAGGCCTTTTTAGTAAAAATGAAAATAAAAACAAAAAGAAACTAATCAAATAACATCCCTAACACAATGTCTTACTGTCTTTTATCACTTTCTAGACAGAAGAAATTTACTGGTGATAGAAACATTCACTCTAAATCAAAAGCGGGTGTGAATAACCAGGGCCTTCACTCTATCCACTTGAAAGTCTATTAAAATTCCTTGTTGCCATGTAAGACAGGAAAATACTTACCTCTCGGGACACCTGGTTCCACATCAGGGCCTCTGGGTCTGAGGAGAATCAACCGTTCATTCATCAAAAACAGCAATTTCACAGTAGAAAAAAGAAATCTTAAAAATGCTGTTTGTTCAATTAACTCACCTTGACTTGTCGTTCTTTGAGCAGGTACATTTTCGGCCTGTTTTTTTTTTTGGTAGAAACACAAGAGAAAGAATTATGCAGCTTCACGTTGTCACTTCCACTACGCTGTTGTACAAAAGGGACAAGACAAATTCTAAAGAGCATGTTTGCCGCCGTGGCAGCCAGCTGCGTGCCCCTGACACTTCCTTTGGTTTTAAAGGAGCAGGTCGTTCCAAGCCTTGACGGATACATGAATGCAGACTTGAGCTGGTGCCCGTAAGCTCATCTGGGCGGCGAGCCTAGCGAGGCCTTAGAAGATTGCAACTTGTTGGCTCGAGCTCAAGACTACATTCATGTAACTCAACTGCAATTCAGTTGTTTAGCTAAAAACCGCGCGAGCTGAATAACTTCTGGTTAGTAGCGTTTATATTATGTGCAAGCCAAGAGCTTCAATGCTGAACCTCCGCGATTTAAAACCCACGTCGGTTTGCTTGTAAATGTCAGAGATGATGCCGAGTTTGCTCATTATTGTTCCTACATTCACAAAACAGGCCGTGCATCTCAATCACCGACCGTGGGTCTGAATCAGATGAATAACTTCTGTTCATTACTTCTCAGCTTGTAAAGCAGCGGAGTGGTATCGCTGCAGAACGCCAGCGGAGGTCATTCTGGTGACACGACCTTATCGTTGGCATGTACTGAAGGCTGATGCTTAAAGCGAAGAATCTCTGTTTCGTCTCTTGTTGCATAAAATCATCATAAATAACTATCTTCTACCTTTGCATCTTGTATTTATACGCTGATCCTAAACGTTTGCATGCAACTTGTATGTACTTTTTGCACTAGTTTAGGTCACTACATGATGCTCAGCGATGTGCAATATCCAGCCGGGACACTACTACTGTATTTAGCAATACACCAAACAAGTATTACACTGACTACACCTGGTACCATTGCTCTACTAGATTTTTATATTTCCTATTTGCACATATCTCACTGTACTTTGAAAATAAATACTCTGATTTTGTGAATTTACTGACAGGATTGCTGCTTGGTTTTGTTTTTGGCTCATTTTTCACTGCAATATAAAGTCCTGCACCTCCATGGAAACAAACACCAGAAGCAGAGAGAACTCAGAAATGTCTTCTGTGCAACATGACACAGTTCAAATGCCATAAACCTAAAAAATAAAAAAGCAACAGTGAGTTATTTAACAGACAGATGCACAGATTACTCCATCGTTTTAAGCTGTGCTGTATGTATTTTATGGCTCAAATCTGTTATATTTTGCTCTGATGCATGTAAACACTGCCTGCAGTTCAGCTGAAATCTGTTTTGTATATTTGTCATGTGACTATCGGTGGCAGCCGAGAACCAGTCATTGGTTCTCAGAGGAGCACAGAATTTATTTTATTTTTTTTAAAGGATCTGGTGTAAATGTTCAGTTTAGCACATGTTTGATTAGTCATGTAGAATAAAACATCCATCCATTATCTATACACCACTTAATCCTCACTAGGGTCGTGGGGGGCTGGAGTCTATCCCAGCTGACTCAGGGTGAAGGCAGGTTCACCTGGACAGGTCACCAGTCTATCACAGGGCTACACTTAGAGACAGACAACCAAGCACACTCACATTCACACCTACGGACAATTTAGTATCACCAATTAACCTCAACATGTTTTTGGACTGTGTGGGAGGAAGCCGGAGAACCCGGAGAGAACCCACGCTGCACGGGGAGAACATGCAAACTCCACGCAGAAAGGTCCCGGGTGTCCTCACTGGGATGCGATCCGGCGACCTTCTTGCTGAGAGGGAACGGTGCTAACCACCGATCCACCTTGCAGCCCTAGAATAAAACAACTTTGATGAAATATGATGATTTTAAGCTTAGATTTAGTTCTTTTTCCTGATGAAACCACATGTTGCACACAATGTATTCACAAATGATTGGAAAGCTAGAAACTCTTTTCTACTTTTACACTTTTTGGCTGCGTTTTAAAAAGAACAGACTTTCAAACCTGCAGGCAGGTTTCAGATGTCCATATGCATCATAGGCCTCTCTAAAAATAGTGAAATCAACACATTTATTCTTGCATAAGGTGCATAAGGTTCTTCAATTACAGCAACAAGCCACGGCATCCTGAAATATGGAGCAAGGAGCGTTCTTGGCAGCGTAGGCCTGTTGGAAATCTCAGACCAAGCCAGCGACCTACATACTGCACCATCAGAACTAAGAATAAAACTGTTCACTCATCTTATATTCACTACCTTTGACACGGGGAGGTGCTCAAGGTTGCATAAGGCTGTCAAAAACTTTTCATTCCAAGCAGCAAATAATAATCTTCCAGGGTTTGCCGCCTTCATGTTGTCTTCAAAAACTCTGCCTCTAAGACTTGCCCTTGGCCATTGTAGCATTTGAAGTCACACTTTCAAAAGTGCTGATTAAATCAGAATCAAACGGACTTTCATCTGTTCATCAGTTGATCTTGAAAACCTAAAGGGCCCAATCTGTAACTTTGAAAAGTTTGAATATCTTCACAGATATAACTTAAGACAAATCTGAGGTAAAAGGAGGAAATTAGTGTTTTGTGTTTCCTGAGCAAACGGCACAAACACAATTATCTTTGATGTGAAGTTAATCATGTTTTCTATTTTTAAAAGCAAAACACCAAAATAATACAACTTGTCTGAGCCAGAAACTATAAAAACTGGAAGAAAATAAATCATTATTTTGAACTTTCCAGCAGTTCTTTAACTAATCAGGTGGAAAAATTAACAAAATCTGAGGCTAAAATCGTTATATTTCTTGACATATTTTTTGTCTTATTTTTAAGAAATGCCCAAAATAATCTGTTTGTTCTGACTAGATTTTGCAAAAATCACAAGAATTCTGAAAAGCAATGTGACCAACAGTCATGTGACAAAAATTAGAGGAGTGTTGAGCTGATCTGGGCTGAGCTGCAGGCTGCAAGAAATTCTTTTTTTTTTTTTTTTTTTTTTTTAGTGATTTATGGCATTATAACTGTGTCAGGCTGCACTGAAGATATTTTTAAGTCCCCTCTACTTCTAGTCAAGGCTGTGCCGCTTCCATAGAGTCGCAGAACTTTTACTTTGCAGTGAAAAATGAATCCACAGTGAGGCAAAAATACAAAAAAACCCAAAAACCTAGAAAGCCCAGAAAATGCTCAGGGTGGGAAAAAAAACCCACAAAACTTGTCAATCAATTTTGAAATAATTGCAACTATAATAATAATAATAATAATGGAACTATAGCATACAAACTTTTAAGCTTTGTGATTTACAAATGAATAATTAATTCAAATATAATGAAATCAGCTATTTTTATAAGCCTCTGAATATTCTGTGTATAGCTCCACTGCTCATAAATAATGTTTTTCACACTAAAAAAAAAAAAAAAAAGTCTGAGACACAAGTGTTCATAAAGTGCAGTTAGAATCCCACTCTGCTCTTTACGAGCAGCAGCAGCAGCAGAGTGTGTGGGTCCCGCTGAATTATTTATCGGCTGGTTTTGGTTTCAGGGCTACCACCAGCAGCAGCAGCAGCAGCAGCATGTGTTGGCAGGTAGGAGGAGGAGGAGGAATGTTGGAAAGGCAGTGTGAGCGAGAAAAAGGATGAGATATGAAGGCCACAGTGCTGCGATAGAGGCAGCGTGAGAGCGTCGGCCTTGTGCAAAGCAGCATGTGTTCGTCTTCCTCCCAGAAATAAGAGAAAACTGAAGCCTGCTTGCTTTTTATAGCGCTGCGTGAATCGGGGAGACTGTGAGGTCAATTCCCACATGCTGGGATCACCGTGTGGCGGCACCGACACTTGGAATATCACAACTGCTGTGCACTTCGCCGGGTCGGATACTCACTGACAATGAGGGCGATGCCGAGGAGGAAGAGCACCACGGCAAAAACCAGGCCTCCGATTCTCAGGGATTCATAATCTGAAAGGAAGAAAGACATTTAGAGAGCTCGCAGGAGAGATTGATGGCATGTAAACGCCTTCAGTTACTAAGGAACAAACTGAAAAGCTTTTTGAGGGTTTTTTTTTTTTCTTGTGAGGGCTCTTAATTGCATTTTGATTCATGAGCAGGAATATTCGGCCGACCCCAAATGGTTCTATCGGGACGCCACAAATTCCTGCGAGCTACAGTCACCAAAACTGTAAACACACAACGGTCAGTTTTAACTCTTTAGTCGACTGTAGAAAAAAAAAGGACATGGATGAAATGTTGAACGTGAAAAAGACAGAAAGGCAGGAAAGAAAGGAAGGAAGGAAAAGTGAAGAAAGAAACAAACAAAGAAGGAAAGAACGAAATACAGTAAAAAAGAAAGAAAGAATGGAAGGAAGGAAGGAAGGCAGGAAGGAAGAAAAGAAGGAAGGAAAGAAAAGCAAAGAAAGAAAGAACGACAGTAAAAAAGAAAGAAAGGAAGGAAGGAAGGAAAGAAGGAAGGAAGAAGGAAAGGCAACAAGTACAAAAAGAAAGAAAAGCGAAGAAAGGAAAGAAGGAAGGAAGTACAGCAGAAAAGAAAGAAGTGAAGAAAGAAAGAAGTAAAGAAAGAGGTGGAGAAACAAGTAAAGACGGAAAGAAAAAAGAAAGGAAGGACGGCAGAAAAGAAAAGAAAGAAAGAAAGAACCGAAGAAGGTGAAGAACAAAAGCAAGGAAGGGAGGAAGGAAGCAAAGAAAAAAAAAGTTTCCTCTATCACAGCAAACACACTGTTGACAACGAAAATCATTTTGAAAATATCTATAGAGTCAAAGACGCCACTCAGTTCTTCATTTGTTGTGACCTCTTAAAAGGAATTTTTCTTTTTATTTGAGACTTTCGGATCTGATTTTTGGCCCGGCGCCGTGTGCAGAAGAGATGAAACCCTCCCAGGATTTGACGACGGAAAAAAGAAAATGCTCCAGAAAGCTGTAAATATCTCGGAACATCACAGATTTATCTTGGGACCCCCTGAGGGGTCTGTGACTCCCAGGATGGGAAACATGAAGGGATTAGGTCCACAGCGAGCCTGGAGCCCAGCGTAGTAAAAGCTTCTTTTACAAACAAACAAAATAAAAGTAGATCTAATACATACAAATGTTCCTTTTCTTTTTTCTTTATATACATTTACATCATCTAGCAAATAACTGTGCTACTCCTGAAAACAAATCAATTCCAGTTTCTGTGTTATAATCCACTAACTCATGAATCAACTGTAATTAGAGACATAATCAGACCTGGCACAAAGTGATAAATATCAGCAAGCACACTACAAAGCTTTAATCAAATCACTCGCTGCTGCTCGTGAAGCTTATTCTTGGAAGCAAACGAGCACTTTAGCATTTTAAATAATTGCTTTGAAAACATTGAAACTGTAAAAATGTTAAATCCAAACAGGATTCTGTCAGGAGACACAAATACAGATATTTAGAAGAAAGAAAAAGCATTAAACTGAACATAAATAATGTTTAAATGATGGAAATATGCAGCACAATAGTGTATAAATTCTTGATTTTGACAGTTTGAAAGTTGGATTTGCCCAAAAGTAAATTAAAGACCGTTATGTGTCCGACTGCTTTTAAAGTAATCAGTGTCATTAACGAGTCTGAACTGCCTGTACTTTAGTTAAACTTGTCTGCACTTTTATTCATTTCTTCTCCATTGTTCATTTTATCTCTTACAAGCTTTTATGTTCTCTTTTTTCTGCTGTTTCAGTCCATCAGCTATAATTTTTCATTCAATCTGAATTAAATGTATTACTTACATTTTTTATTTTTGAGATTTGCCTGTAAAGCCCTTTGAATAATCCGTGTACGACAAGATGCTAAAGTAAAAACCACTGAAACAGCTAAATGTGACGGTTACATTCCAGGTTCATCAGTTTTATAGTTGCTGTATGAAAATTAACGTCTAAAGCAGTTTAAAACAAATCAAATCATTACATTTAGAAGATGATTGTTCATTTGTATGAGATAATAAACTACCTGACAGTTGCAACAACAGACTTGATTGATTGATTAGTTGTCGACTATTAAATTCATAACCAGAGGTGTAAAGTAGTGAATTACATTTACTCGCGTTACTGTAATCGAGTAGTTTTTCTGTGTACTCACAACTTTTTAAGTAGTTTTTAAAATCTGTACTTTTACTTAAGTAGTTTTTTTACGAAGTATTGTAATTTGCTACATTTGAAAACACATCCGCTACTGAGTAAAAAAAAAAATTATGCTTAAATAAAAAATAAACATTGAGCTGCCGTGTCAACCGCAAATAAACACCACAGAAGAAGAATTCAAACAAAACCGCAGTGAATGATGGGCAGGAAAGCTAATTGGCACTAAATCACATGCAAGATGGAGACGGACGAGACGGATAAAAGATGTGCGGACCTCGCTGCAGGCGAAACGTCGCGTTCTGTGACAGAAAACGAAGGGAACCCCCTGGCCACATTTAAGGGACCACTTTGGCTTCAAGTGCAAGAAAGGCAACAGCTTCATCATGCTGTGGAAGCTGTGTTGGCCCAGAGTGACTGAGCTAGCAGCTTACAAAAACTCGACATCAAACCTACGCAAACACGTTGAGGTAAGTCAAATGTAAATAACATTTGTGCCGTTGTATTGGTAGTTAAAATTACGTTTTCGCTGGAAACATGACTCAAAGTTCGTACATGTTGTCCTGCTTATTATTTTGATTATTTTCCCGCCAATTATTTTGAAAATCGAGCTATTTTTGTAACGGGAAAAAAAAAGTTTCTCCAAAATTTGAACACTTTCTGGTTTCTTTCTTCCTCTGTGACTGTAAACTGGATCTCTTTGGGTTGTGGACTAAATAACACATTCGTCATCTTGGTCTTCAGCGAACATGAATACCATTTGTCACCATTTTTCACCATTTTTCACCATTTTCTAAACCAAACAACGAACTGATTTATTGTGAAACGAGATTCAACAGATTAATCAACAGTGAAAATAATCATTAGCTGCTGTTTCAACTCTTCCGACAGGCCTGTGAGGGTGCAGACGATGCTTGGAGTGCCACTACAAAAACATAAGGACAACCACGCCACCGATAGACGTCATTAATAGAACGTATAAACCCATTCTGTGCACTTTGGTCCCTCGGATTGACTCGTCACAGCGGACGGGGTTTGAAGTGTTTGCGTTGGGACGACTCCAGAAGCTCGGCCTCTGGGTCAAAGTTTTCCAGCGCGTCTGGAAAAACATGTGAAACATGCAAACTCATCTGAACCTCCCAGATGTTTCCTGCGCGGAGGGTCGGCGATTAAAAGACCACGTTCGTCTGCTCAGCACTCACCGTAATGGAAAGCGCTGTCATAGTCTGGTGGGAGAGAGAGAGAACAAATGAGAAGCAGATTTACCCAGTGACACACTTCACAGAGTACTCATGATCTGACAGCTATTCAGCGCTTTCAGGGCCTCAGTCATTCATCTAGACATCACCCAGCACCAATTTATGTGTCAGCTACACACAGCTTATCTTAATTTGACTTTTCTAAGCCTCAGTTCAAATAATACCCACCTTTATCCTCATCTGCTGATGAAGCTGTGGGGGAAAAAAATAAAAAACATTAGTCTTTAGAAGAAATTCCCCTGTTGGTGTAAGTGCATGTCAGCAAATGGCAAAATTGATGGCAGTGGAGCAAATTTCACTCTCCAGAGAGCGTGCACGCTACCTTCAAATCCCAATTTGTATTTATGCAAAAGTATACACACTGGGTTATAGTAATCCTATAAAGAGGAATAATTTGTGGATAATGAATTCAGCAGAAATCGTCTTCAAACACTCGCGGTCCCACAGTGGGGCTCGTTGTCACACACACCGTGTTTTAGCAGAAAAGATAACCGTATAGTCATGTGAAAAAGTACGTGGGTTCTACAATATACTGTCATAGCATCGACACCGTGATGTGAAGATCAAACTGAAGTACGGAAAATTAACTCCAACACATCACGCTACAGTTTAGATTCTTCTTTTGCTGCTTGATGCAAAAGGAAAACTGTTCCACAACTAATCTGTCTCATCGAACACCATTTAGTCTGATTTAAGGGTTCTTGATTACAACTTAGGGGCTGCAAGGTGGCTCTGTGGTTAGCATCGTTGCCTCGCAGCGAGAAGGTCGCTGGTTCGTGTCCCGGTGGGGGATCTTTCTGTGTGGAGTTTGCATGTTCTCCCCGTGCAGCGTGGGTTCTCTCCGGGTTCTCCGGCTTCCTCCCACACAGTCCAAAAACATGTTGAGGTTAATTGGTGATTCTAAATTGTCCGTAGGTGTGAATGTGAGTGTGCTTGGTTGTCTGTCTCTAAGTGTAGCCCTGTGATAGACTGGTGACCTGTCCAGGGTGTCCCCTGCCTTCACCCTAAGTCAGCTGGGATAGACTCCAGTCCTCCATGACCCTAGTGAGGATTAAGCGGTGTATAGATAATGGATGGATAATGGATGGATGGATGGATGGATGGACTACAACATTATTCACTGGATTTGTTGACATGCAGACTCCACATGTGCACAGCAAAATGAGCGAAGGACAGAAGAGAAGCACTGAAAGGGAAGATTTGGTTGCAAAAAAAACCCCAACACAATTTCAGTTGCATTGAAATGTTTTGGCTACAAAAAGGTTGATGTTGACCCAAAGTAGGTACTCTGTCTGCCGTTTCTTGCAGCGGTCGCCACCACACGAGTCAAATAATTTGTTTGATCATTTAAATCAGCACCACAAAGCTTTGTGCACAGCCAGATCTGAAAGCAACAACAATAAATAAAAGAAGCTATTTTGGATGCATTTGTCAGTTTGACACCATAAAAGAAAGGTTCCAGATGGATTTTTTTTAAATTTTTGAAGATATTTTTTTTTTTTGTGGATGTGCTTTTTTCTCCCATCTCTCTCCTCTTTTTGGATTTTTTTTTTTCTTTTCCAAATATCATGCTGCCTTCGTGTGTCATTTGCAAATTATTGTATTTCTTTTGCCATATTTGGACAAACACCAATAGATAGCGGTGATAAAGAAATCATCCATAAATTGGCATTTTGGAGTTAGTTTCATAATTTAAATAATAAAAAAGAAAGATCAGACACATGAAAACATGAAGTACATTTATCACACCCTCAAATCCATAATAGTAGAATCAGGGGTTCCCCACAAGGTGCCGCTGATTGGAACCTGTGTGGGGAGTGACAGGTGCTACCATGTCTTATTTTAGTCCTGCATAGCCAGACGCATCTTGAAAGTGGACTGACCGCACCACACTATCACGCTCTCGCTGGTTTGTGTTTCTTTAAACCAAAACACAACCGTCTTGTGCGAAGCCAAACCCAATATGCAGCGACAGGGAAAAAAAAAAAGAAGCTTGTTTTGGTGAAACATTTGCACGCAACATGAGAACCAAGCACCAAGCAGGCTGGCCTTATTGCATAATCCTCTGCACAACTTGAAATTTCCAGCATGTAGGTTGCTACCTTGGATGTTGTTCTTCTTTCCTGAGGCTAAAGGGATTTAAAAAAAAAACAGACACAGATAGTGGAAGAGGAGGAAAAAAAGCCGAGTGAAAAGCACGCTGGAAATGGCTGATTTTTACCGTCAGTCTACATCCGGGTAGTCAGGCTAGTCCTGCTACACGACAGGCACTGCGCCAAAGGGGATCGAATGTTTGCTTGTCCAAATATGCTTTTTTTAAAACAAAAGGCACCACTTCCTTGTGGACAAACTTGCTTTTTCACATGACTTTACAGGTTCCAATTGCTCGAAACAAGAACTAAACTCATCTCAGTTGTAGGAAAATGAATGCAATAGAACAATTCGGCCAAACCTCAAAACAACAACGATTATACTCACCTCTCCAGTGTACTTTTGTTTTCCTGCCCTGATCTGCGCTAATAAGTGTCCTGCCAGTAATGTGGGAAAAGTACAGGCCGTCCTCTGATCTGTCACATTTCACTGCTTCCACAGGGGGAAAAAACTGTCGGCTGTTCTTTCTTAAAAAAAAAAACAAAAATCTCGCTCCAGAACATGTCGCTCTTGGTAATAAACTAAATCACAATTTCTGCCTCATGTTCAGCGACTTTAAGAACACAAGCTGAATAATTAAAGAGCCAACTTGGGCTGGTAGAAGACACAAAGCAGACGTTGTTTATATGAGCATCGCTGTTTGGAGTGAGAACAATGTAACCTTGGAGTAGCGCGCTGGAGGTTACATAAATACTTGTGCTCGGCAGCATTTCACATCATTAATGTGCTTCCTTCTTTTTCTTTTTTTTTTTTACAGCTGTCATTAAAATATTCAACAGACTGAACAGCATTTTAAATGTCAGCCAGTCCTAATGGTTCTGCTTAGATGTGAACTCTGACAACTGCTGATGAATATATTAAAATATTAATTTATATGTCTAAGGAGAGGAGTTAGACTGCGAGCTTTCTTGTTCCAGCAGCTCATCAGCAGTAACTGACTTGTGATGAAAGAATCATGTCTTTAACGTATGTGACTCCATAAAGTCGGTGTGCACATGTGAACCCTTGAACTCGATAATATTTCAGAAATTCTGTTGCATCGCGTGGACTGGAGAGGAAGGGTTACGGTGCTACAGTTAACTCTGACCTCATTCTCGGGCATTAAATCCTCATGTTTTTCCCTCTATGAAGCAAAAAAAAACACATTTTCCCATATTGGTGTGGACATGTCTTTTAAAATAAGGTTTGACCTGAGGGTCAAAGATGATAAAAAGCCCCTCAGTGTAGGCAAATCTGCTTAACATCAAGCCCGACTGATGGCATGCAGGGTACACTCAGAAACAAATCAAAGACCAGGACCTGCATTAACAATGGAAAAACTTGGCAGGAGCAGTCTGAATAACTGATTATTCAAACTGCAGTAAAAGGAAATGTTTACACTGTTCTGACATGGCCTTTTCTCAGAGCAAAACACTGGCACAAAAACATTTTAGATGAAAAATAGAAAATGCAAATTATGCTGGAAACAGTGTAACGCCAACAACAGAAAAAACAAAAAACTAAACTAAGGGCAATGTGGCAAAAAGACAAATAAGAGCGCAGCAAAAGATGAAGAAATCTCCAGGCCATGCGTTGTGAGTGACCACTCTAATGCAGAGAAACTTACCAAGCACCTCCCTGCCAAACGCTGATCCTGTTATACAGACACATCAGCTTGTTTTAGCATTGGAGGAAGTTGGAATGAAGCTACAGAAATGGGGAGTAACTGCAGAACACTTACAGAGGTTTAAAGATCGAAAGCTGCTGAACATTTAAAAAAAAAAAGATGCTCACCAAGTGCAGGAGCCAGCCAGGAGCTGAACGCCACCAACACCACGAGTTCCATCGTACCGCTTCAGAAGAATCGAACAAACACGGACCTTGTTAGGAACAAAGGGAAACAATAAATGTTTTAACTTGATATTGCAAAAGTGCTGTGCTCCTGAGACATTTCTGGTTTACTAGGGGTAATGTCGAGGCTTGTTTTATGTGATAACCGTCTGAAGCAATAGTACTTAATCTCATTTTTTATTTATCGTGTATTCTTATTTGACCCATAAGTTTGTTCTGGATGGAAAACAAGTGACAAAAGATAATGAAACATTGTTCTAGAGATGTTAATGATAAATTCAAACTGTTTCAATATGCTTTTTCACATTTTCCTAAAAAGTACCACGTCCTAAATCATCCTAATTCTGAAAATGAAGCTTCTTTCTCATTCCAAATGCCAGTTTCTACAATGTTTTACAGTGCAGTGCAAATTAAGAACAGCTGACGCAGTAGTTCTCTAGTCGGTTTATAGTCAATTACCAGCCATGACTAAAGCCAAAGCGTTTAGTGAGCTCACTATATTGGGGCCATCATGAGACAGAGTCGTGCACTGGGGCTGCTAACAAGATGGGCTATAAAGTCATGTCCAAGTGCTTTCAAGTGCCAGCGGCCTCAGTGCAAATCAAAAAGTTCCACGCAGTGAGAAATATCAAAGGTCGTGGAAGGAAAAGTGACCCCATGCATTGGCACGAATGGTAGTGCAAGAGGCCAGGGAAAATCCAAGGATCCTAACCAAGACCACCCTGATGAATGTGAGCAGCTCCGGAAGTGGCATCTCAAGACAGACGTTCCAGCAGACAGTAAACATGGGGGAGTCCACTTGTTCAAGTTGGAGAAACAAAAGCTTGCCTTGCCTTTGCAAAAGCTAACACCTGCAAGCAAGCACCTGGGCAAAGAGGAATGCGTCTTGTCATCAACTCATGAGGTGAAAATGGAGCTATGTGGACACAGTGACCATACTTCAGTTCCAACATGGCGGTGGAAGTGTGATGCTTTGGGGCTGGACCAGGCAGCCTGATCAAAGTAAATAACATCATGAGAAAAGAGGAAAGCATCTGGCAGTCTGCAGAAACACTGCTCCTTGGGCAGCATTGGAGCTTCCAACAGGGCAATGATGTGAAGCCAAAGTGGTGAAGAAACGGTGAAGAGAAAACAATGAGGAGATGTTGGAGCAGTCCAGCCAGAGTCCAGACCTGAATCCATCCAGAATCTGTGGAGGAGCTGAAGAGCAGAGTGATGGAGAGGAAGCCTTCAAGCTCAGAGATCGCTACAAAGAACCTCTAGCACAATGTTTTACTGTCTTTTGTCACTTGTTTATTTCATTTCCAACCAGATGACGCCTACTGCTTTAGCAACTTAAATACCCTCTAGAAAATAACCAGACAGCATGCTCAGAAAAAAGACAATAAAGAAATCAGAAATGGGGAAAATGCTTCAAGAAACTGTAGCTTAAAATGATAGGGTCAAAATCAAAGCTGCAAAAAAAAACACTGGATCCCATCCTTCCCAAAATGCAACTTAATGCAGGGTTTCATTAGAACCTGTTGACAACCTGATGCTGAACCACAAAGACGTTCACGACGAAACTGAAATGGTTTCCGAGAGTAAATCCAATGGAATGCCCCGTTAGTGATCCCATTCCTGGCAGGGACACAATGCTCCGCCTTATAGGACCAAAATTTGATCGTGATATGTGTCTTAATATTGCGGTCTCTTGACTCTCCATAAGAGCAGAAGATCTATTTCAGGCTCAGCACCTCAGAACATGGAGCTTGCCAGTGGAGGGGCGTAAGGCCAAGCTGGTGTTGAGTTGCACTTGATATTTGGTCAGTGGGTTGGGGTTGGTGTTGCTTGGTCATCTAGTTTACACATGGAGCATGAGCCCAGTGGGGGCGTTTTTCTGTCTATATATTATCTGGGACATTCCTCTGGATGCTTTTACACCCAAATGTTTACACGCTAAGGTTCCACAACCAGACTTGCGTCGGGCACAGGAGCTACAGAAGATCCACAGTTTCGAGGTTGCGATTTTACTCGCTTCACAGCTAAATTATACCAGTAAACTCCCAAGGCATGACAGCAGCAACAACAACAAAAAAAGAATCTAGTGCAGGTAGCTTAGCAGTTACAGTTGCAGAAAATCTAAGCCATGAAATAAAATGTTTTGCATTGCAAAGATCAAAGCCCACGTTAGCAGAGCCAAGGGTTCCCCTCCCTGGCCCTGAGCGCTGATGGGGATTCATGCATGACTCGAGTGGGGGTGTGAACATGGAGCTGGAGTGGAAAGAAACGAACACTTCAGCCCTGGGAGCAGGATTAACAACAAAGGCCTGCCAATCAGGTTTAATCAAACAAATACAGGGTGAGTTATTCTAACAAGGAGCAATCCAATAATCTTGTTTGTTAGCCTTCTGAGTGATGTAGAGGAATATAATGGGGAGATGGGGAAGAAGCCCATAAAGCAACACTTAAAATGAATTACCATGGATTATAATAAAGTGGGATTAACAGACAGTTTGTAATTAGGAAAAAGGGGCTTAAATTGTACATTTTCCGACATTAGCCCATATAGACAACCCCCATACTGGAGCACATTTACATCCCAACTAGACATATCATCAATACACTGCAAGAAGCAAGGCTTGTTGTGCACAAACATCATTTATTCTAATTAAATCGGAGACCTCATTCCGGTGCGTAAAACAAGTTGGATGAGACTTTGGAAACACTCAAAGCGCCTGATTCAAAATTGATAAACTTTGAGGCTGATAATTAGGAGCACTCAAAGCGCTTTTGTTCTCGCCAATTAACGCGACAAACACAGAAGAACATTTAGTAACTGGCTGCAAGAGTTTGCTGGCAAAGCTCAGCGTAAAAAAGTGTGACACCAAACTCCATTGAACTTCTCAGATGGCGTGGCATTTTTTGGAGCCGGACACCAGCGCGCAAACGAATTGGAAAACGTGGGAAAAACACATATAACGCACAGGTAAATGGAAAAATACGCGTCGGGCATGTGCGCTGCCATGCGTAAAAGCAGCAAAAGTCATGACTTGTGTAATTAGTCGATCACATGTTCTCAGGCATTTAGTTTGGCGGTCGAGAAACCCGGCTGGAATGAAAAAAAAAAGTGAAGACCTCTGCAAAACCAAAGCCGCAAAAACTTTGTTTTGCAAACTTACCCTGCGCACGTGAGCGTGTTTCTTCATTTAAAAGCGTTAAAGGAGATGCATTCATTTCACAGATGCGTAAATTTGGACATTTGGATGAACTTACCGCGTCTCAGCCTCCTATAAACTCTAATGTGAGTCCCGCCCAGTGAGCCAAACTTTGCGTAAAAGAAGTTCTTAATTGTGACTTGAGCCAAGAAAATAAAATATGCAAAAACCTTCTCTTATGACTAGAGAGAGACAGAAAAAAAATGAACCCCACTGATTAAAAATGAATTATTCTGTGTTGCACTCTGTGGAGCAAGTACTCTGCTGTAAGTCAAGCTCTGTTCCTTCTTGGTCTTGTCTCAGGAGGAATGTCGAGGGAGAGGAGTTAGTGGAGAGAAGGGGGCGGGGTGCCACTGAAGTTACTCCCCAAAATTACCCTGGGCTGCCCTGCACAGAGGTAAACAACACAAGCAGAAGTGTGTTACAGTTGCTACTGCACAGGGAGAGTATTCCCATGTATTTTTTTTTTCTCCCCCCTCTCTCTTTCTTTTCGGTGCCAGCCCTGATAGTAAAATATGATTCCATAATGAACTGTAAATCATGCTCATTTCCCCCCACAGGCAAATATAAAGAGACACGAGCAGCATCAAACAGTGAGCTTGTTGTGCTGAAGGTGTAATTTACAGGCTTTTACAGAGAGGTTCAGTGCAGTGAAGTGAGAGCATAAACACTGGAGAGCTTTCATGGCCGCAGCAGTCTGTCAGCGAGGTCTCTCAGCTATATGAAATCTGTCTTTTCGCAAGGTCTCTCCCTGCAACACCAAGCTGCCAGATTCTCCCCTCGGCGAGCAAACACAGAGCTGGCCGGACCCAGCTTTGCTCCTGTCTCAATTTTGGTGTCTGCTATTTTAGTTGCTTGTGGTATTTTGTTTTTGTCTCCGATTCCTTTCCTACTCCAAGGACTTTTTAGTAGCTTTCTTATCAAGGCATCTGGTTGGGTGTACGGTTTCTTCCTCTCCCCAGTTTCGGCACACACTACAAAGAGTCATTCATTTCTAATTTTTTGTCAAAGTTGAGTAAATTGTCAGGGAATCACAAATAACTTCAGCACAGTTTGTTGTGAAAACATGTTTATTCAGTAGTCAGAACAGCAAAAAGAGCATATATAGTAAAATACACACATTTAAAAAGTATAGTAAGACAGATATGAGGCTCCAGACTTTTCATTCTTAGCCGGAGACGACATAATTCCCTCCTCCACTAGATGGAGATGTTGGTCAAGAATGAGCTACATGTTTCTGCATCTCCAAAGTGAACAATAGAGCACCAGATCGCCAGGAAACCACCAAAAACCATTTTTTTTAAAAGAGGGAGTATAATGAGCGGGACTGTAAACATCCTGTTCTGCAAAAGAGGGTAAAACACACGGATGTAAGCCAGCTATTTCATTCACCAGGAAACATCAGTTCATATTTTTGAGAAGGGGAAAACAACTTGTGTTTTCTTTATTTATTTATTTTGTACCTGTGCACCAGATGCTCCTATCAGCGCAGAGCCGACATCTCTACAGGCCGCTGCAATGAAAAAGAAAATTGCAGTCAAAGGGCACCGGAGCAAAGTAAAGTCAGGTCCGCTCAGGCACAACGTAGATTACAAGCAATGCTTTGGAAAATTGCATTTTTAAAGGCATATGCAAACAGTCAAGAGCCACGCTGATCCTCGGGGGGGTGTTTTCTTGCGCTGTTTAGGGTCCGGTGATGAGAAAATGCCAGCGAAAAGACATCTACTTTGAATAAAGAGAGGAATGGGGATGCAGAAAACTCAGTTCTCTAAAGGATTGACTTAAGGCTAGGACACAAAACTAAAGATGAGGGCTCAAATTAATATTGCACCCAGATGAGTCTTAAGTGTCCTTGGATGACAAGCAGTGATTGGATTGCAAGCTTGGTAGCTTTTGATGGCCATGCCTGTCAGCCTCACCTGCTTTTTAATCAGTAATTACCATAGGGGATTCTCTGGCATTTCTTAATTAAATTGGACCAAATGCAATTAAAAACCACACTCTCATTCCTTTAAAAGGGCTCTGTGGAGTCCTTGTTTAGTTCTTGCTGTTAAGAGAATAAGCGGTTGAATGGTCATAGCACCGTCCCATCTCTCGCTGATCTGTACTTGATTATTTCGCTGGTCAAATTAAGTTTGCAGTTTGCATAATAAAGGGAAAGATGGAGTTCAAGATTAAAACTTCCGCTCTAACTGGAATTGGAGGTTAAAAGCGTAGACAAGCAGGCAAAGTATTAAAACAATTAAAGTTAACATCAGGAGCACTGTGATGAGAGCAAGTAGTGAAGCAAAGGACTATCATTATCACAGCGCTCAGCGTCGCGGTAAATCTTTGCCCACTACATCTATACAAAAGAGAGCAACACTCACCATCTAGAAAAGTCTCCGGCGCTCCAGGAGGCAACGACTACGGACACATCGGTGGTGGTTTTCCCATCCGCGGTCCTCATATCATCTTTGGAGTTGTTATTGTAGTTGCCGCAGGCGCCGCACATTTTGCCAGACAGGCTGCTGTCAATAATGACGCTGACCTCCTGTGAGATGGAGTAGGTGACCCGCACAGCAGACGTCCACTCGATGATCATGGTCCTCTCCGAGATCTGGACGAATAGTTTGCTCGTCACTTTGCTGGGAAGAGACACTTTTCTGCCATTTACCTGGATGACACCAAGAACGGGAAAGAGGAGGGAAAAACAATATTAATTCAGGTGAAATACAACAAATAACAAAGCAGTTTCTACATCACAAAGATCCATTCGGTTTTATTTATGTAGTCCCAATTCACAACACAAGACATCTCAGTCAAGGTGACCTCGTAGTAATGGATATATTATGGAGGGATTTCCAACAAATACAAACTATTCTCTTTGAGTAAGCACTTTAGTGACAGTGGGAAGACAAACAAAACCTCTCTATTAACATGAAAACAGTCTGGCAGAAGCAGGCTTAAAGTCTAAAGTGTAATTCAATGGACCCATTCCTGCCACTTTATTAAATGCATTGCTCAAAGATATTTTTTAAAAAAATAAATAAAAAAAATCTACTTCACTGATTTAGATCAACCTTTTTAAAGTTGCAGACATTTTTTAGTGGGTCAGGTCGACATATCAACTTAAAATCGTGTGAATTTTGAACTCATATTTCTGCATTAGTTGATTTAAAACATCAACATTGGAATCGTAGTTCCAACGAATTAATTTTATGTAAATTAATCTTTAAAAAAAACCTCTTTCCTTGAAGGTCAGTATTTGAAATCCCCTCTCCTCCCTACTAAATGTTGGAGCGTCTTATTTATTTTTATTTTTTTAATTTGCCATTTATTTGCTGATTTGTTCATAGTTATGGTCGTTAAGTACAGAACACTTAAGAAGTAATTTTAAATGAAAATACTTGCGGGAATACGAGTTTCAAAAACTTAATTTTATGAAAAACTTAAAAATCTAAGAAGAACATTTCTGTTTTAGTCAATAGAAAACTAACTTTAAGTTGCGGTAACTTAATAAAATTGCCTTCAAACAACATTTTCTTCACCTTAAGTTCAGGATTTCAGGTTCCCTCCTCTACCTACCGAACACTGGAGCACCTTCATTTATCATTAAGTCAACTTAACACATTTTGTCCACAGATATGTTCAGGACATTACACTTGAACAATCATTTTAAATAGAATGTAAATAGTTGTTCTAACAACTTAATTTTTTGTAAAAAAAAAAAATCAACATGAAAAATTCAACTTTCTGCAAATTTATGCAACTTTTTCTCTTTTTTAAGAAAGTTTGCCAACTTGAAAACAAAAGTTGTTGTAAGTACATAACATTTAAGTCTTTTTAATAACATGCTCATTCTAACAACTTAATTTGATCAAAAAACTTGTGTTTATTCTGCCAAGCATTAAGTAAATAACAATGTCTTCAACTGTACAGGAAAATCTAACTTCCCCAACTCAGTGCAGTTTGTTGGTTGAACATAATTTCATAATCTTTTGTCTTCTTTGAGCCTAAACATTGTTTTTTAGAGTGTAGAGAAGGTTGCAATTTGCCATGAGTGGCTCGGGTGATGCTGAAGAAAGACGAGAACAGCAAAGAGAATCAGACAAAGAGCTCATAAGAGAGCAGTTACTGTTTTAACCGTGCTCACCCAGGTTTCCTTTTGGCTGTTTACTGCCACGACAGCTTCCTTGAGGTACACATACACAGTGTCAACAATGGGAGCGCCTCCTTTGCTGCAGATCCTGACGTCCACAACCACACGGAACCACAGCTCAGAGGTCTCATCGCACAGCTTGGCCACTTCAAATGCCCCCTGAGCTCCTATGGCTCCAGAGACTCCATCAAAGGATCTCAGATGTCCAACTGGGCTGACGGTGCAATGGCCCCGTTTGACATGGCAACCCCTGACCCCGTCTCTTACGCTGCAAACCTCCCCGCTGGTGCAGGACAGCTTCTCACATTTTACCAGCCCAGGGGCCTGGCACACACACTTAGTCTTACATTCTTTGCACACCGCTGCTTGGCCCACCTGGAAACATACATGGTGTGTAGGGTTAAAATCACTCGTTACACCTTTGCTTGTGTGTCAAAGCTAAATGCTCTCAGTGCAGCTTTACCGTCAGATATCTGCCCTTGTGCACACACCCACAGTTGTCCAGGGCAACGCACTTGGTGCCATCAAAAATAAAGCCGGCGTCACACTGGCACCCTTCAAAACAGCTTTCAGTGCAAGTGAACGGAGAGATAAAGCTGACACACGTCCCGCCGCAGGTGTCCGCACACACCTCGTAGTGGCTGTGTGGTGGGCAGGAAGTAGCTACAAGAGAAGAAATTTACAAGAAATTTGAATATGCATCTGAAATATAACGAAATCTTTAACTGTTGTGTGCAACTCACGGCAGAAGGAGCGGCTCCTCCATTGCTGGATTTCAGCTCCTTCGCTCTGGCAGGCCACAGCGTAGGCCTGCACGCTGTTGCACAGAGAATCTTTGCTGCCACCCGCAGCACAGACATCAAACACACAATGAGACACGTATGCTGCTGGGTCGATTTTGCTGTGGCAGGCTTTGAAAGGCCCATTAGGTGCACTCATGATGCCGCAGGAGTCGGCTTTTCCGTACAAAGCAGCCTTGGCCTTGTCACACACTGGGCACTGCCCTCCGCAGCCGCCGCACACAAACCCAGGCAGGTCCACCACCCACGCCTTCCCAAAGTCGTCGACGCTTTTCGTTTGCTTGCCGTCAGGAAGTCTGAAATCATCGCTACCTTTTTTGTTGTAATTGCCGCAAAGGCCGCACATCTTGCCCTGGTATGTAGAAGGAACGATCACCTGGACGTAGTAGACGGTGTCGTAGAGGACCGTCAGGCCAAAGTCTGTTCGGACAATTATGTTGCGGCCTTCCTGGGTGACTCTGAGACGCCTGTTTTCCAGGGAGAGCGGGAGGTTTAAGAGTTCATCATCCACCTGCACAGAGAGGGAGGAGAGCACAGTCACAGGGAGAAGCTTTGCACAAATGTAACCACATGAGTATTCTGGTTGATGGACTCACAAGGACTTTCCACGGCATCCCCTGCTGGATGTAAATGACGTAACCATAGACTTCTACCCCGACCGACTTGGTGACAGCCACTTTGCCGTTTCCATACTTCTCATTTCCCTGAGTAACAGTGAACGGCGTCAGATGGCCTTTGTCATCATCGCAATCCTTTGCCAACACGTAAACACAGGTGCCCTGGAAGTCGAACCTCCGTCCATCGAAAGAAATGTAATGAGGGTCACCAGAAGCCACACACTTTGCCTGCCCCTCCGGGTGGCAGCCTTTCACTCCGTTCACAAGTTTACAGATTTCTCCTGTACGGCACTTGGCCTTTTGGCAGGTCACAGCCCCGTTCTCTCCACAGACACATTGCTCCACGCACTTGTCTTCAGGGTAGAAGACGTCTCCTTTCCTGTAGTACTGACCGTCATAGGAGCATCCACAGTCTCTAACGGGGACGCAGGAGTCTCCACTGAGCAGGTAGCCTTGATCGCACTCGCAGGATTCTACGCAGTGTCTGTGGCAGGTGGTGAGGGAGGTTAAGCTGGCACAAGTGGCCGGGCAACCAGTGGCGCACAGGGCGTAGTGGCTGTTAGCGGGACACGCCATCGCTGTGGGATAGAATGAGGAGAGAGGAAAAGGAACAAAGTGAATATCAAAAGAGACAATGAATATAACAACAAAAACACAATCGGAAACTCACGACAGAAGTTGTCGCTTCTCCAGGAGCTGATGGTGACTCCTTGGCTCTGACATGCGGCGACATACACTTCTACAGCCTCACACACCGATCCATGGTGCCCACGATACTGGCAAACATCATAAGCACAGTCCTCCAGGTAGGGAGTAGGGTCCACATGCTTATGACAGTCTTTGAAAGGCCCGGCTTTGTCAGCAATAACGCCACAGTACTTCATGGCTTGGTACTCTTTCCTCTGGGACTCTGAGCAAGCCTGGCACCATGCCCCCTGGCAGCCTGCTGAACAGCCCCGTACAAAGCCCACCTGCCAGCTCTCCCCCAGCTTGGCTCCGTTGGGGGCCACCTGGCCGTCCCGCATGGTCAGGTCGTCCTGAGCTTTCCCATTGTAGTTGCCACACAGACCGCAGACTGCATCCTGGTAGTTGCTGGGCAGGTTGACGCTCACTGTGCTCCGCCAGTCAAAGGTCACGGTGATCCCGGCGACTGTCTCCACTACAGCCGTCCGGCCGCTGAGAAACACGGCCAGCTCATTGTTGTAATCCAGCGGAAGCGAGGCAAGCTGCCCATTAAGCTGAAGAGCAGAAAAATAGGCAGGGAGAGAGAGGAATATTTTTAGGAGATTATAGATTTAATAATTCCGTGGACCTTGCTAAGCCATTCTAATGTGCAGTTAAATCTTAGTTTAATTAAGTCTGCCTGGATCAAAATTTTAATATGCAATTAAATATATATATATATATATATGCAGAAGAGCACAAGGGATGTCAGAATTAGCACAATGACAAAAGGCATTATTATCCACTCATATGAATGAGGCTGAGAGTAGCTGTGCTGTTTTTATTTTCGATAACGCTACATGCTGTGTCCCATTTATTTTCTCTCCAAACATCCACATAAAAACAGATCGCTCATTCAATCTCTCATTACGTCGCTATATGCTTCACATTATCCATACCTTGACATCTGGACCATGACAAATCAATCTGTGCCTCCCTCCTGGACCCCTGCAGAATCAGCTGATTTTTTTATTTGTACAATAACTTTAGTGTATAATGAAGCCAAATTTGACCTTCTATTGTTTTAGCCATGGAAGGAATCATGGCTGCAAGATGAGCCTGGTATCAAATAGTAGATAAAAATGAAACCTTTCATCAGTTGTGGCGTGTTTTGACGTACTGCACATGGTGATGTGATCCTTGACAGTTTGTTCAAAGTGTACTTTTTCAAGGTTTTGTCCAGTAAATGATCAGAAAACACATTTAGGGTATCAATGCTCTATGACAAGACCTTAAACTGTGGCCATTTGACAACTATGATATTGATGCTCAAAGTTAGTTATGGGGGGAAAAAAACATCCATCCATCCATTATCTATACACCGCTTAATCCTCACTAGGGTCGTGGGGGGCTGGAGTCTATCCCAGCTGACTCAGGGTGAAGGCAGGGGACACCCTGGACAGGTCGCCGGTCTATCACAGGGCTACACTTAGAGACAGACAACCAAGCACACTCACATTCACACCTACGGACAATTTAGAATCACCAATTAACCTCAACATGTTTTTGGACTGTGTGGGAGGAAGCCGGAGAACCCGGAGAGAATCCACGCTGCACGGGGAGAACATGGAGACTCCGGAAAAAAAATATGCAGAACCAAATCAAGATTTTAGATTGTAACACCCTAACTGGAGGTTAAATTGACTTGGCTGCAGTTTTTAACAGAGCTGAAATGTGTTTTTAAGCCCTGAAAACTTGTCCATGTACTTTATGTATAAAATTATGAGGGCTCAAAAATGCTGGAAAAACAACCTCCATGTGCTTCAAGGGCCTGTAGCTCAGAAAGTAGTCATCGTATGAAGCTAAAACTGTGCATGGCTTCATTAAATACACAAAAGTTATTGTATATATTTTAAAAATTTTCTCTCATTTTACACAAAACGATCCTGTCACACCTACCAAGACCTTGTAGGGGTATTCTCTGCTGATGGTGAGAGTGATGTCATAGATGGAGAACTTGACGGTCCTCGTGTAGGACACGGCTTTGCTTCCCCGGTGGTCGTTCTGCACGGTCACCTTGAACGGCACCAGCCCGGGCTGCTCCGAGCACAGTCCCACCAGCTGATACACACACGTGCCTTGGAAGTCGAACTTGCGGCCGTCGAAGGAGCGGTAGTGCGGGTCGCCCGAGGCGGTGCACGTGGCGTGACTGATGGGTCGGCAGGCGCGCACTCCGTCCACCATGGTGCATTTCTCTTTGGCAGAGCAAGAGGCCTCTCGGCACGTCACCATGCCCAGGGTGGAATCGCACTCACAGAGGCGACCGCAGACCTCATCAGCCCAGAAGTGCTCGCCCGGCTTGTAGTAGCGGCCCTGATAGGAGCAACCGCACGTTTTAGCGGGAACGCAGACGCCGGCGCTGAGGACGTAACCCTTATCGCACACGCAGCTCTCCACGCAGGCACCCTTGCAGGCCTGTTTCTGCTCAGGGAACGGGCAAGATGGCTGGCACGGGCTCGCACAGTCTTCAAAGTGGCTGTGACGCTGGCAGTTCATTGCTAGGTGGAATGTAGACAGGCATTAGTTAAGAAACAAGAAAAAGATTTGATTGCAATCTTGAGCAAAAGAGATCACAGATACTCACAACAGCCAAACTTTTCCCTCCAGCCCGTGATTGTTACTCCCGCCTCACGACACGTCACACTGTAGGTGGCCAACGCCTGGCACAGCATCTTTTTGTCGCCCTTATTGAGACACATATCGAACACACAATCGTCCATGAAAGCCTGGGGGTCCACTTTTCCGTGGCATTTCTGGAACACGCTGTTGGTTTTGGCTGTGAGGGCCCCGCAGAAAGCTTCAGTCTGATAGAGTTTACGCGTGTTACCGTCACAGGTGGGGCAGTTTTTCTCACAGGTGTCCGAGCAAGGGTGGTCCTTGTCCTGGTCGGGGGTTTTCCAGCTCTTGCCCCAGTCTATCACCGAAGAGACGGCTTTGCCAGCCGGATTCTGGAGTTCATCGCGGCCGTTGCCGTTGAAGTTGCCGCACAGACCGCAGACTGAGCCGTAGTAGCTGCTGGGAAGCCTGATGACGAGATACCAGTTGTAGTCGTAGGAGACGACCAGGCCGAAGTTTGTCTCTACCACCGCAGTGTTTCCTCTAAGAACCACTGCCACTTCACCCAGTTGTACAGGAAGATTCAGCAGCTCTCCGTTCACCTAAAGAACAAGGATCAGAACAATAAATATACAGTAAACCGGAAACATAACTAACCAAAGAAACCAAACTCTCACCGTCACTTTGCCAACTTGGTTCCTCTGGATGGTGATGGTGAACCCATACACGGACACATCCACCTCTCTGACGTAGGAAACCGCTGTGTTTCCTCGGTTGTCATTCCTCTCAGCAATCGAGAAGGGAACCAGACCGTCCGTGTCGCCACAGGTCTTGGAGATGACGTACTTGCAGGTGCCCTGGAAGTTAAAGTTGTAGCCATCAAACGTGTGGTAGTGCGGATCACCCCAGGCCCAGCAGACGCCCGTGTACGTGGGGACGCACACGGCCTCCCCCTTCTCAACGCGACACGTCTCCTTGACCCGACAGTTGGCGTCTTTGCAGGGGTCTGCAAGAGACGAATGAAAGGGAATTACGCCATTTATATGGAAACAGTTGTGTGACGTGGAAAAATTTGGCAAATCTAGTTTTAAAATTGTCATCAAAGTCACTTTATTCTACATGTGTCGTTAAAAACAATCTCCAAAAATAATTTCTTCTAACCACATTCTGTGAAAAACAAAAAAAAGTTCTGCACTCCTTAAAGCAGCCATGAAACACTGGGCTGCAACCAAGAGTCACATGACAACAATTTGGGGACTTTTCGGCTGGACTTTGTTTACACAGAGCAGAGATGAGACATATATGGAAACTAACTAAAAACACAAGTAGTCAAATAGCTTGTCACACTATAAAAGACAATACACATTCATACTATCTAACTTAAGAGTATGCAGAGTTAGATTTTTTTCAGTAACAATTTGGGTACTTGAAACATTATGCACATGTTGACTTTGGTGTTTTTTTTCAATTTTTAGACAATAAATAATCAATGAACGCAATTTATTTCCTCTTCTTTTTAAACTGTACTTTGTTCTGCTGCACAGAATTTGAGTTCTCTCTATTTCCAGCTGTGGTTGTGCTGCATTCATTAAGATGCAGGACTTTATATTGCAGTAAATAAATGAGTTAGTACAAATGCAACAAGAGCAAAAAAACACACCATGAAACTGGGGCTTGGGGTTAAGAGGGTTAATAAAATGAAAACAGATTTTTAAATTTATTTAAGATTTTTTTTTCCCCGCTGGGATAATAGGATTAGTTTAAAACCACCAGTCTTGCCTGTGTTGTAGCACGCCCTGATTCCTTTCTTCACCATGCATTTGGTGCTCTGAGGGCAGGAGTGCTCTTCGCAGACGAGGCCTTTCTCTGGATCACAGGTGCACTTTGTGTGACAGTCCTCGTTGTACACGACTTCGCCGGCCTGGTGACGCACAACGAGTTCACGGTGGGAAGTAAAAAATAAGTTGAAAAGGATTCACATCATTTCATGCTGCTTACGGCTCCTTAAAGACACACAAATTTAGCCAATCTGCTAATTAAGCCTCAGGAGAAATCATCAGCGCACATTTCTAAAAATCAAACTGGCCGATGTCCACCGCTGTAGGAAAAAAATAAAAAGCAAAGGCAACTGTACTGCCGCTTTTTAATGCTGCATTGGGGGTTCGATGCTAAATAAATGACCCCACATACTATATATAGAGTGGCCTTTCTGCACAGACAACGGCTCTAAATTTTACCTTGTAACTTCTTCCGTTCTCGTAGCAGCCACACTCGGTCTCTTTGACACAAGTCTCTCCGTTAAATAAGAAACCGGCATCACATGCGCAGCCTTCTGTGCAGCAGGTGGGGCACTCGACGATCTCTGTGAGGCCGGGGCAGGAGGCAGAGCAGGCCTCGGCACACGCCTCATAGTGACTGTTGGCGGGGCATTTCATGGCTGAAATAAAGAAGAGAAGGATGAATATATAAGAGAAGATCCCACAGCTAACATTTAGAACAGAGCAGACGAGTAAAGGGGGTTAATTTGGAGGTAAAAAGTTTTTTCTTACGACAGAAGGAGGCCGTCCTCCAGTTTTTGATATCCACTCCAGCACTGTGACAGCTCAATGCATACATTGCCGCGCTGTCACACAGCAGTTTTCCATCACCATTGGAAGCACACACATCAAACACGCAGTCCTCAAAGAATGGCTTTGGGTCCAGTTTACTGTGGCAGACTGCAAAAGGACCTTTGGGTGCCGTGATGATGCCGCAGTAAGTGGATTTTGAAAACACTGCCATGCGAGCTGGGTCACAGTTAGGACAGTTGCTCCCTTCGCAGCCATCTTCACACACCACATTGGGGATGGTGACCTTCCAGGATTTTCCAAACGCATTCACGTTGTTGGTAAGCTGACGGTTGGGCAGCTGGAAGTCATCTTTTTGGTCACCGTTGAAGTTGCCGCACAGGCCGCAGACCTTGTCGCGATAATTTCCAGGTACTTTAACCGTCACGTGGTAGACCAGGTCATAGGTGACACGCAGTCCGAAGTTTGTCTTAATAACATAATTGGTTCCTTCTTTGTAGACTAGCACCTCTCCATCATTGAGATTCACAGGAAGGAAGTTAAACACGTCATTTATCTAGAAGAAAGGCACAAGTGTTGATTAAAGGAAATAACCACTGATGAGTAGAATGTTAAAATTAATCCGTAATTATCAGTGTATGTCTGTAATTAGTATGTATGTTTTATG